AAGTTAGCCATGGCCTCACAATTTCTTCATGTTTGTAATGCAAAGAACATGGATAGGTTGATTAAAGTGGAACAAGTACAACATGATGAAGCATAGGATATATTTCAAGATGTTGCTAGTTTTGTAATTGATAACCCTGGCATCATGTGCATTGCTCGACATGTGTGTAATAGGTGCTCTCTATCACAACTTATGTTTAGAAAGAAGAGAACCTGTAAGATTGAAGAGCTTTTAGGCTGCGTTTGGTTAGAGGGGAGGGATAGAGGGGAAGGAAGAGGAGGGGGGAGGGGAGGGGAGGGGAGGGATGGATCTCCCCAATTTGGGAGGGAGGTTTTGAAGGGAAGGGGAGGGGAAATTTCCCCTCCCCTTGTTTGGTAAGATGGAGGGGTTAAAATTTCCCCTCCCCTCCCCCCAACCAAACAGGCCCTTAGAGACCTCTAAGATAATGTAGAGAATACCAAGAGAGTTTAGGAGCTTCAAGAAGAATCTAATATGTTTTAGATTGTTCTAAAAATATCTAGAACAATCTAAAAATATATGGAGAAATCTAGAAGGATCTAGAAGGTTATAGAAACTTCGGGAAAAATGTGGATATGTCTAAAATTCTATAGGATATTCTAGAATGTTTCATGAAGTTAGTTTCTAAAAATATCTTTATAAATATCTAGATATTTCTTATAGATATTTATTTAAAATATTCTAGAGAATGAATGTTTACCATATGATTGGATTAATCTCTACCGTTTGTTAAAGAGGTGGAAAAGTTTTAGAATAAGGGGAGAGTCTATAAATATCCCCACACCTCTCATTTGTAACTATCAAGAAAAGTTGTAAAGCTCTCATGTTCACTTAGTCAAACTCTGTACTCTCTTCCGTTCTAAACCTCTTTGCTAACATTTTAAGAGTTCGGCTGACTTAGCCAAAATTAAGAAATTGATCAAGTTAAGGCTAGCACAGTTCAAGGAAAGGAGAGTTCTAAGGCTGTGACAACATGATATCAAAGTTGGACCCAAGTTTATCCATTCGATAGGCCCTTTCATTAACCAAATATGGAGAGGGCATCACGGGTTTCCTGAGGAAGTTGTTACTTCTTACATTGGAGTAGAGCCAGGAATAAGGGCCGAGCATGAAGGGCTGGTTTTGGAAGCCCTGTTTAAATAAGAGTTTGGGCTTTAAAAATTAATTTTTTTAAAATAACCGAGCTTGAGGACCTAACCCTATAGAAAAGGGCTCGAGCCCGGGTAGCCCTTCAACCCCTGTTATATTATTATTAATTTTTTTCTTTAGTGGAACATGTGTTCAAAGCCAAGAAGAACCGGCTCGCTTGAAGCCTTGATCCTACACGCATTACATTATTATTAATTTTAATTTATTCTAAAATTAATTTAATATAATTTAATAAATATCAATGTATGGTATAAAAATTTTGATTTTTTTTCTATAATTATTATATTTGTGTATTTATAAAAAAAATGAACTATTTTTTAACCAGGATTTGAATTTTCTTACTAGACTTTTAAATGTATGTTGTTTAATTTTTAAAAGATTATGAGAATTTTGATTTTTTAAAATTTTAAACTATTTTACTTAATTTCTAGTGCTTAATTTTTTTAAAAAATTTTTCATAATAAGGCTTACGGGCTCGACTCTGAACCCTTCAAATAAAGGCCAGGTTTTAGAAAATGAATAAAAAATGGGAAACGGGGCTTAAGGGCTCAAATCTTTATGGGCTTGGCCCTTAATAAGGGCCGAACCTGCCCCTTTCCTAACTCTACATCGAAGGAACTTGAAGAAAGTCTTAGCTATATAAATGGGTGCACTGCATACCCACTAAGCTAGCTTTTTAGAGGGAAAGTACCTTGGGACAAAGTAGTAACAGAACCGGACTCGGATTTGCCCATTCGATAGGCCCCTTCGGTGGACCACTCATGACGAAGGCGTCATGAATTGGCAAGGGGAGCTATTATATTCCATATTAGAGGGACTTGGGAAGGGCTTTGACCATATAAATGGGTGCATTACATAATCCACTAAACTAGCTTTTTGGGAGAGAGTAATAACTCTATGACAAATTGGTATCAAAGTCGGACCGAGGTTTGCCCAATTTGAGGCATCACAAATTAGTTGAGAGAGTTGTTATGTCCCATATCAAAAGAACTTGAGAAGGGTTTCTAGCCATATAAACAAGTACGTTGTATACCTAACTGAGCTGTCTTTTTAGGATAGAGTAATGGTCCCGTGACATCTCGCCTTCTACTTCTTATACATAAGATTGCAAGATCTTTTAAATTGAAAAATGATACTCCAAGTTGGAGGGCAGCATTGGAAGATCTTGACAAACAATGGAGAGAGCATCAAAATGATGGCTTAGAAGACTTGTACTCATTTCTTGAGTTTTGTTATGGTCAACTAAAAGATAAACAACAAAAATGCCTTCTGTACACTTCATTATACGCTGTAGACGGTAAGGTTTACACTGATTATTTGGCGGATTGTTAGACAGCTCAATGTTTTCTTGGTGATGTTAATAAAACCAGAAGGTACCAAAAAGCAAGTGACAATGGTCATATGGTAATCAAAGATCTTATCAATTTATCTTTATTAGAGAAAGGAGAATAGATGTTGTATGTCACCATGAATAGTTGTATGAGACAACTTTCTTCACACATATTATCCATGCATTCCCAATATAGTTCCTATGTCTACAATAATGAAGAATTTCACTATACCCCTTCATTGCATAATTGGGGAAATGCTAAATGGGTATCGATGGTAGATATCAAATTGCATAATTTACCCCCAAGTCAATAGCAATATGCTTGAGACACTACTTCTGTAAAAGAATTCAAAGTTATTCGCAATTCCACTGGTTTTATTTTTCTGTTTCGAAAATAAGAGCAATCTTCTTTTATTAGATTTTCAAGGTACTGCCATCGCAAAGCTTCCATCATCACTGTTGAACTTAACCAGACTGAGGGGGTTTTTATTTAAACTCTTGGAAGCACCTCAGTGACTTGCCACTTGAAATAGCATTGCTTCAATTTCTTGTGGTCCTTGACATTTGAGGTAGCCAAGTGAATTTTATATCTTCTTATATTGAAAGCTTGATCAATCTGAGATGTTACAGATTCCATTTATTAAAAGTGTTGAACGATGTGAGCACCGAGACTTTAGAGGTAAAAGTTGCCATTTGATTTCCAAGCTTTAAAATATAGAAGAATTGATTTCAAGACTTTAGCACTCACCACACATACAAAGGATCAAACCCTAACCTTGCACTTAAGAAACACTTAGACCTAGTTTTGGTGAAAAGAAAAGTGAGAAAAAAATATGAAAAAGAAAAAAATTAGGAGAAGATATTTTCAAAAAATAGTAAACTTTTTTACTATTTTTTTTAATTTTTTCTCTTAGTTTTCCTTCCTATTTTTTCCCATCTAAACCAAGGGTTAAGCTATAATTTTTATGATATTTAATTTTAATTTTTCAATGTGTTGATTTGTTGTTTATATAAATTAAAAATTACTTAAATAGTCAGATATACACACACTCTTCATACCCATAGTCTAACATTTTAAAAATTTTCATATGATATATATCATATTTTGTCATACCCTCTCCACTTTTACATGTAAGAGAAACTGTCATTTTTATTTTTTTTTGAGATAATACAACTTTTAGTCCTTTATATTTGCATGAGTTATCAATTTAATTCTTTAAGTTTAATTTTTATCATTTTAGCTATTAATGTTTGCACTCACCATCAAATTAGTCCATGAAGTTTTTTAAAACAAATTAACCCTCAAAATAAGTTGACATGTAAATTAAATTGTTGATGTGGAACATATACTTCAATAAATTAACACACATAAGTAAATTTTCATTTTCTAATTGCTGATGTGTATTAATTTGTTATTTCCTATTTTTTAAATTGCAATTTATACTTTATAATTTTTTATTAGGACAATTAAAAGTTCCAGAGGGGGAAAATGATTTTGCATGATGCTATGGTGAAGGACTCGTGAACGACACTTGCACACGTCGCCACAACTCTACATTATCTGGGATTAACAACAATGTACAACAACCTGAGGTGTGGGACGATAATGGTGAACATTGAATGATGGGGGGTTATTAGCAAAGCGAGACGATAGCAAGAGATTTTCGTGCGAACACTCTTCTCCGTCTTTTTCTTCCTGCCCTAGCAGACGATGGACATGGACATTGGTGAGCCCACGTTTGGTTTTGTAATTTTTAAAATACTAAGCATGTTCCTTTTTTTTTTTTTTTTTAGTCTTAACCCAGTCAACATTCTTGCTTTACACAATGTTAATATACATGGCTACCACATCATCATTCCACTAGCCGTATCAGTGAAATTTAACTGTGTTAATTTCTCACATAACATTAAAAACTTTCTAGATAAGTATATACAACATTAAGGACTGCACTGATAAAAATTAAACTTAAAGAACTGATTTGATAATTCATGCAAAAATGACTAAAAGTTTTATTATCTTTTATTTTTTTAAATCAAAATCACATATCTCTTTTGCTCAAAAAAAAAAATCACATATCTTAAGATGCAATTACTGCACTTTCCTAGATTACTCCTCATAAACTCATAATTATCATTCATGAGAAACAATTAATGCAATCTTATTTTGATTAAATATATGAGTATTTTAATCTAGTTTTTTTATTTTCAAACGCAATTATTATAATTAATTATCAACTAATTTTTCTAAATTGGATGAAACGATTATTTTCTCTTAGACATAGACCCGGAGAGGGAGAACCTGATACACATAATTACACAATGCTTTCGCCTCTTTTTTACCTCCTACCAAACTCTTCATCAAAATTTTGTCCAGAGGAAGACCTCCAGAGTTCGAGAACACATCAAATGTTCCTCAGAAACTCCAAACAATTTACTCAAAAGATAGGGACCGGCCAAAAAGAAAAAAATCGAGTCCAAAAGAGGCGAGCAGCAGACTCTGAACTTTCCTAGCACACAAGACCAGACCAATATCTAATGAAAGGCTGGCTCAGGCTAGTGAAACGCTATCTAAATTTTACTTTATGCAAAATAAAAAAAAAACAAATTACATGAATTACAGTATGTCATAAGACAAGTATAAGAATGAACAAGTTTCTATACATTTATACACGATAGGATCCTTTAAAACAATGCATCGGAACAATATGTAGGAAGGATGGAACCTTGCATGCCCATTGGAATGGCAACTTCGCCTTTTTACCAATCTACAAACTGTCACGCCGGAATAACTTCCACCCACAAATAGCTCCTTTTTTTCCCTTCACAATTAAAAAAAGGGTCAATTTTAAGCTTCAATCTAGCACTACAAAGTTCGAACCCGATCATCCGCATTTTACTTTTCTTCCCTTACTAAATCACAGACCGCCAATTCTACCATACGCTACAACCAATTGTCAAACACTCCTACCAATGCCAGAAATATCTCTGACACCTTGTAACGGAACAGGTTGCTCCCTTATTCGAGATAGGAGGAGGGAAACTTGTTCTGTAGCAAGATCCAATCTTTCCTTTGACTTGGCAGATTCTGTGATAAGAGCAGAAACCATATTTTGTAATAATTGTACTCTTTCAGCATGATCCTTCGGTGTGCTATGAGGAGTCTTAGCAGAGGTCAAGCTGATTCGACGCCAACGAGAAGGAAGATATCTATCTGGGATCTGAAAACAATTTCCTGTTGAAAGAACTCTAAGAGCATGCCTACAGAGAATTCCAGAGAACTCAAACTGGTGGCAGCTGCAACTTATCATTCCTTCCCTAGGAGCCCAATACACTCTGCGACCACCCTCAGCTTTTGTATGGTGCCTCACAAGGAAACCATCTTCCAATGGAAAAGATGCATAATGAGCAGCCAACACAAGTTGTTCCTGAAGCTTTGAAAAGGCAAAAGGAGTGAGGATTGCGGCAGCATGTGACTCCATAGGAGCTCCAGTTTTGAGGCAAATATTTTGGAGGTTCTGTTGCATTGTTTGTTGTTCTCCAGTTTGATCTTTGAAATCCACAGCAACAGCTACCTGATTGTGAAAGCCAAAGTGAACATTAAGATAATGTTTTACGTCTTTCAAAATATAGGGTGGAACATACTGTTGAGTATAATGAACATCTTCTACAACAGCAACAAGCCTTATCCTACTAGGTGAGGTCCACTACATGGATTGAATGACGTCATTGTGCTCTATCCAAATTTACTTCTAAATAAGGAATTTACAGAGAGAACAATTTAACAATTTCTAGAGAGAGAGAGAGAGAGAGAGTACCTGCTCAACAAAGTGTGCAAGCCGAGTCTGTGCACTCAGAAATCGTTGAATGAAAGCATTAATTGACTTTGATTGACCGGTTGTAGTCATTCCCGCAAAAAAATGGCTTCTCAGGAATGGCAATGCCCAGAGCGTGCGTAAAGTATATAAATTAGCAATGTGTCTACTGGCATGCAGCGCAAAAGAACTGACCATATCCCTCCAACCTAGTTCAAAATCCTCAACTGACTCAAGATTGTAAAGTCTATAAAATTCAGCCTTCCACTCATTGTAACGTTCTCCTAGAACAGCACTAAACCAAGAAGGGAATTTTGCTACAATCATCCATATGCAGAGAGCATGTTTAGTTGCTGGCATTTCCATGGCTAATGCTTCTTTGAGACACATGTTTTGGTCCGTTAATATTGTCTGTGGAGGCTTCCCATTCATAAACCCTAAGAAAGCCTTCCAAGAAGACGATGAAACAAAGAAAGCAAAAGAAAACCCCCTAAGTGAATCGTAGAGCCATTGAACTTTTTAAAAATTAAATGCATCCATGACATACAGATTCCACAAATAAGGGGGAAATGAAAGAAAATTAAATAACTTATCATCAATAATTAACATGCCTTGCCCATTTAGATGACTGGCAAAGGAAACCAAAGCATTATAAGATACTCCCTCCATTCCCTATAATAAGTCATACTCTTGAAGGAGACTCTGTTCCAAATACAAGTCATTTCAGTAACTTTTAAGAGTAATTAATACATTTTTACATGAAAGACCCATAAGATTTAAAATTTACTGGACTCATGGTTTTGTTAACCCACTAATATGTTTTGTTCCCAATGCATGGGAAGTTGGGTTTGCTTGACCTTTGCAGTACACCAACTAATAAGGAGTGGGAGAGTCAAGTGTATTTAATGAAGGAAATTTGGAAAAATTGTAAGGTTTTTCATACACTAACTAACTTCTAATGATTGCCTTGGTGTGTGTGTGAAGTAGGTATATATGACTTATAATAAGAAATGGAGGGATTAATTGAACAAATTTACAGGGAGAAGATTACTTAACAAGAAGCATTATGCATCAAAATTAATGTTAGCTTAATTGGCCAACATTATGATGATCTGGCAGATCAACCAGATCCTAGAGGCCACCTTATTGATGTGTTGGCTACACAACATAAGTTAACAAGTTTTCTCTCCATCCATTCCTTTATTTTCGTCAAGCCACATGAAGTCTATCAACATAAAGATACAAGAGATCATAAAGAAGCTCACATAAAAAAATACAGAAACAAAAGTGTCATGTAGATGGAAAAAACCTCTTCACACTACCTTCAATGCCCAAGAATATGACCTCAAGTTTTCTTCTCGTAGAAGCACACAGCCAAAAAAGCAAGGCATTCCATAATTATTCATTCCAACCCATATACCCAATGGCATGTCAAATGCAGTTAGGCGGTGTGTTGTATCAAACACCACTGCATCACCAAAGATATCATATGACTGTATTGATGAGGCATATGACCAGGCTATATTCTCTAAACAGTTGTTTGAATCAAGTGTGAACTCAAATTTGAAATTAGGGTCTTTATCCTTAATATTTCTGCACATTCTTAATAAATCTATACTTTCCTCTTCTGGTTCTAATTTCCTAAATGACTGAAGTAAATTCCTCACATCCTTTTCAGTAAAAGGTAGATATCCAGGTTCCACACACTTCTCAAGCTCCATAAGCCGCATCATTTGATGGACAGAAATCCCAGTTTTAGCATACATCAAGATTCGGCTTTTGTCTGAATCAGAAATAGTTCTGTATGCAGGAAGAAATCGAACTTGATTTGGCTCTAAAAGTTCATGATTATGGTGGTTGGCAAAACCAGTAACACGCCATTCTGGAGTACCTAATTCTGTTGTCTTGCTTATACGCATGTAAGCCTGGCATCCACATCGGGAAGATTTTCGATTCCTTTGAGGTTTACTTTCAGTTGATGTTTTGACAGGAGTGTTACCAGCACGATGGCAAACAAAATAGCGTCTAGTTAGTCCTTTTCCAACACCATCTTTTCCCTCTGTACGGTGTCGTCGAATTGAGAACCCACACCGCTTGGCAAATTCACTATAAAATTCATATGCAGCATCATGAGTGCTAAATCTTTGCCCAATATATGGAATTGAATCATTAGTAGTCTCCAATGAAAGCCTGGTTTCATCTGGTGATTCCTCTGCGCTGCTTGTATCATCCAAAGATAGGGATCGTTGGTCTGAGGGGTCATCATAAACTACCAACATTGGGCTAGCATCCTCAGACATTATATCCCAGTTACCAGCTTAAGATAACCTGCACTAAAAAACACAGACATGAACAAATAGATACGGATGTGAACAACATAACTATGGCAGTTGAAAAATGATAGAAGTAACTGGCTAATTCTGATCTCGTTAACCAATTACTAAAGCCTCACCACACTTGGAAGGTGGATGTGGGACAAAGGAGGGACTTCTAAGATAAGATTTCAGAACAAAGTTTCCACCACCGTTCCAAAACCAAAGCAACAAGAAACAAAAACATAGGATATATATCAACAGTAACGATGAATATGATAAATGAACTTTCATAAAAACAGAACAAAATTAATTATTAGCGTATATAAATTGTAAAACACCACTTCAACAGAACAAAAGGAAAAAAGGAAGCTCGAAATGATCAAGACATCCAATGACTCTCCATGTTATTCACATGATGTGCAATGAAGAACTTCTTCCATTTCGTCATGCCCCCAAATTCATGCTATAAAAGTATAGTTATATGGGGGGAAAAACCATTACTACCATCATAAGCGGACCTATGTTACTGAAATCTTTGAAATATGCATGGTTGATATAATGCACGTTCAATTTTTGTTCCACACACTTCGATGAAGATGCCTTCGTAAGCCAATTGAGTCAGGCAACTCCTTCAAGCCACTGAAGAATGTCAATTTAAACTCAAGCTTATAAATTGGCAGAAACAACTCAAGCTAAGTCATCCCAGGTCATGCATCACAAATGCCTTGAGAATTTTCTAAATTGATGATAATATAAAGAGATTAATAAACAGAATGCCAATACACAACAAATCCAGCATTGCAAAACAAAACAATCCCAGGCATAAGTCGCTAGATATCAGAATGAAGAGGGGCGAAGTATAATGGCCAATTACACACCATTGAAGCGAAAACTAGTAATCAAAGTTTTTTAAAAAAAAAATTAAACTCAATCTTTATTCAAAAACGCCAATATTCAAACGATTACACGACCAGATTCAAAGCCAAATTAAAATGAAAAAATTTAAAACAAAGAAAGAACGGTGCAACGGTCCTACACACGCAGGTAACAGATGACGCGGGGAACAAATTCAAAACTAGAATTTTTCTTGGCCAAACATTCAAAGCCAGATTGAACAAATCAATCTCACCGAATTTTGGAAGAAGACGAAGCCCTAGGGTTTGAAACTTCTCCAACCAGGTAGGGACGGCGTCCGACGACGAGCTCGACCAAGCGTGGAATGCAACGTCAAGGAAGAAAAATGGATCCGCCACTTCTTTTTTCACCATAGCTCGATCAAAGCCTGTGTTTTTTAGGGCTATAATTATTTTTTAATATTTTGAATTTTTGTATACAATTGTGATAATAATATATCTTTTTATATATTTATATATAAAAGTCACTTTTTAAAAAAAAATTAATAATTTTTCATAAATTATTTTATCTGAAAAAGTATTTTATCAATAAATTTATTTTTAATCTTATAGTTTCACATTTCCGGGTAATATAAAATATTACATATGAAAGAAAAAAAATACTTATAATCTGACAGTATCAATAATTTAATTAGTTCTAATTAATTTATGAGTCATATTCTACCGTTATTGAAATTAATTGGAGGTAACCATTTTTTAAATACTTAACTCTTCCATAATATTTCACCACAAAAATCTTCTATAATATACAAAAAAATGTAATTATAACTCTTTCGTATTATATAAGATTTACGCTATGATTTTATTTAAATTATGATTACATTAAGTATACCTATTTTAATTTTTAGTGTATTTCTTTAAAAAAAATGATAAAAAGATTTATTTAAATTATATAAATGACAGATTGATCTCACGAAACAGTATAATTTCTTTGAAATTCTATAGAATTTTTCTGTCATTAAGAAATTAAAGGACATAACCAAATTGTCCTCAAATAAAACAAAAATCTCAAACTTTAATGTAGAGCCATTTTTGTGCGTTCTTTCATCTGCTTCATCTGCTTGTTCTCCTCTTCTTTTAGTTCATCTCTTTCCCCTCCGTCTTTATCTCCTTCTCCTTTTCCTTCTTCTCCTTCTCCTTCTTCTTCTCATTTATCTTATTTCTTTTTGAGTTTCTGTACATGAATTCCTCTATTAACTATGCAGTATGTGGGTTAATGTGCATAAATGATTGAGATTTCATTTTCTCTTCATGATTAAGGTTTTCATTTTCTAATTTTCTTTATTGTATGTGAGTATGGATGCTTACTCATGGATAAATGATAAATAATATATCATTTTCAATTGTATTGTAAATGTATAAACTAAAGTTGTAAATGACTAATACAAATTCTAAATATAAGAAAAATAATTGTTGTTAGATTAAACATAACAGATCTATGGTTATGATGTTTGGAAAATAAATATGTCGATGAATGGTTATTTTATTGTTTCAAGTTGGCATGAGAATAGTTGACATGTTGGGATGACACTAGAAGATTCAACCCTTCATATATTTTTGTTAAAAGGATTATAAGATATTTTGATGCAAATTATAAACCATGTAACTGATAACAAAATATTAAATAGTTGTCACTTTTTAAAGTTTTTTGTCATTTAAATTAATGAAAGTTGTTTTTTTTGGATTAGAGTGGTAATTTATTTTTATTGATTTAGTCAATTTACAAAAGTACTGATAAATTGCAATTTCTTGTTGCATTATTGCAAATTTAGGAACAAAAGTTGTTAATTTATGAACAAAAATTGTGAATGAAAAATTGCAAATTTTCAACATCCGATACATATCAAAACCTGCATATTCAGAGTTGCAAATGACTATTGAATTATTGTGAATTTAGAAACAAAAATTGTTAATATATAAACAAAAGTTGTGAATAAAAAGTTACAAATTTTCAACACTTAATGTATATCAAAACCTACAAATGCAAAGTTGCGAATTACTATTAAATTATTATGAATTTAAAAATTAAAGTTGTTAATATAAGAACAAAAGTTATAAATGAAAAATTATAAATTTTCAACACCTAATGCATATCAGGACTCATAGATCATGACTTGTAAATAGCTATTACATTGTTGTAAATTTAAAAATGAAAGTTGCTAATATATGAACAAAAATTGTAAAAGAAAAATTGTAAATTTTTTTAATTTGAATAAAGGGCAAAAGTGTTATTTTTTATAATTCTCTAATGACAAAAACATCCTTTAAGACTCCAAGAGAATTATGTCATTTTATGAAATTAATATATTATTTAGATAATTTAAAAAAGTTTTATTATCATTTTTTCTATTTTTTTTCAATTCTCATTCATTTGAATTGGGTTTTAACATTTTATTTGTCAGCATCATTACTGCGCCATGCATTGACATGACAGACACACCTTTGTATTCCAATTTCCAAACAGGGGAGATGTACTTTGCATTTTCTCTCCACTCTTTTCTCCTAAAATATACTTTACAACTATGTGATCTAATTCAATTTAATTCAGGTTAGTTAGGCTCAACATGGCTTCCAAAATTTGATTGATATTGCCAAGGAAAAAAATGAAAAAGAAGCCAACTTGTAAAAATAGTATGTTGGGCTTGATTAGTTAATGACTCAGTGATCCCATAAAAAGGATAAAAGGAAAGGGAAAAAAAAAAAGTCTCAATAATTATATTAAATTATTAATCATTCTTCGGCCAAAAACGGTAATTTACTTCAGTTATTCCAAAATAGCATTGTACTTCTAGTAGAGAATTTTTCATTTTAAAGATCCGTGTGGAGACAATAATTATTCTAAAGTATTTTATAGATTCAAATTTGTTTAAATTATTAAAATTGTCAATTTTACTTTTCAAAGTTATCGCTGGTACTTCTGAAAATTATTACAGACTACACCCTAAAAACAATATCATCCCCACGTGAGTCTTCTAATCAAATTTTCCCGCTTCTGAAAATTAGTAGGTACCATTCCCTACGACCAATATAACCCAGAAAATTTCAGGTTGTCTTTCTCGAATGGCTAAAGATAGCATTGATCCACGAAGTGTTTTGATATTTACCATCACTGACAAGTGACACTACCAAAAAAAAAAGCAAATGTGAATTATATATTATTTCCATCCTCACCTATGGGATGAATGATTGCGTTGATCTTTTACATTTATAGACTCCGAAGGTGCATGACAGCAATACTTTTAGAACTGACTGATACTGAATCCAAAAAGTAATGTTGACAAATAAATTGAATGACATGGATCAGAAATCAGAATAGTATACAATGATGACAATCGCAACAAATTATAAAGTCCTCGAGCATTTCCTAATTTCATGCATCATTGAAGATAAGGAAACACGATCCTTGTTCAGTGCAGACCCATAATGACAAACAGTCCTACAAATGGAAGGCAAAATAAGGAAGAATAAGACACAAAGTTGCAGAACAAGTCATACGTGAGTATGGAGCTCCGAGAATGGCAAGTTTTCGCCTATAGCATAGACTTCAGAGCCCATTTTTTGGGGATTCACTGTCAGTCGTTTCTCTAGTTGCTGTCACTGCCAAGGCTTGTGGATTTTTTATTTCCTCCAACTGCCAAGCAAAATGGATATGGTGACTAAAACCTAACATGGTGTAACCAGGACATTTTGAGCAACTATAAAGAATCTATAAAATGTTTGAATAGCGGCATCTAACCACCTATAAGAAAGTTATTGTGATATAAAAATTAGATCTGTTAAGGCAGGCGAAGTAAGTAGCAACTTCCACATATTTCATTACCACACAATCTGTAAGTTACTCATATACTGCAGGCAGTAACAATAGAAACTTCTGGAGTAGTTATCAGTTTAGGAAACTAACATCTTGAAGTGAGGCTATCGGTGAAACAGTAACATCTGGTAAGTGGTAACAAAGATAAGAGAACTATTTTGTAAGGACAGCATGGTATGGATAATCCTGTCAAGCACAACAGATATGCAAGCGGCAGATTGGATAGAAAAAGCAGCACATGAGATGAATTGGTATCCTCTCATATACTCAGAAGCCCTTGCCCGGATGCAGGGATGGTTTGGCTAAAGTTAATGAAGAGTCTATTTTCTTGATTTTCAACCTTGCTGTAAGTTCTCTCTCTATTCACAGGGGGAGCAATATTTGTTAATTTTGGCATGATCTGCTTTTCTTTGTCTGTGTGTATTTGTGAGAGAGAGAATCAGCCTCGACCCAGGCAAATGGCCTCTGCCAAAACAGTTATGCTAACACAGTTAACCATAAAACGTAGGTGTTCCAAAAATAGTTCTTTCCCCAGGCAAATGGCATCTGTTTCCCTTTTTCTCTTTCATCCATTACCTTCTTTTTCAATGGTTCCCAATTTTCTGCCACAATTCCCTATTATAGTTACTAACTAAATAATTAAAGTCCTCATATACCATACTTCATATATTGTAAGTAAGCATAATTCCTCTGCCATCTTCAATCCCAAGATCCCAAAATTCCTAACTTGACACATGATCAACAGTTCGTGCTTGCAGACAGAAAGAATTGCTCCTTGTCATTTCAATATTATTCATTTCTTATATAGAAAAATAAGTAACATGAATGATGATCATATCGTGTTTTAAACTTTGAGCTATGTAGAACTGACTGGATGAAACATACATGCTCGATATAGACTATATCACAACAGCTAATATATCTATTACCAAAGAGCTTCATCGAATAGTAGCAGTTGTTCATGAATAATGCATGGGGTAGGATAGGCTTCTTTCATGACAAGAAAATCACATAATATGATGAAAAGATTGCAGGAGAGAGTAGACTATGAAACACCAGCACTGACATATCACTTATTTCCTAACATTTATAAACTTTGCTGTATACGAACCAGATGCAAGCAAAATTGTCGACAATAAATCTTCATATCTCTTTTGTTTATGGCAAAGCTTGAAGTTGTCAAGAAAAAGTATAACCATGACTCCTTTAGTAGGTTGGATTCTAGTAAAGCTGTTAAAATTTCCAGTGGGTTTATACAGTATTCCACCAAAAAAAAAAATGTAAATTCAAGAGTACCTCCTTGCAGGTCTGCTGGTGTGTCGCCAAAAGCTCATCATATTTCATTTGAAGATCCGACAATTCGGCTTGCAATTTTTCATATTCCAGATGGAAGTACTGCCTAATTTTTGTTGAATGAACCTGAAAAAGAGAAGCTTGTTATACATGTGACCCACGAAAATAGTATCATCTGAGGCTCAAGCCTTGAAAGTGATTTATATATTTGTACATTATTGCCTTCAAGTGATTTACGTTAAGTACATGACACTTGAATAGATCAAATTTAATCGAAAAAAGAAAGTCGAATGCACCACGAATTGAAGTGATACCTAATGTCCCAGAAAATTAAAAGGTGACAGTGTCTATGTTCATACAGATTTATATGAATAGTCTCTGGTACAAAACTAGCGCATGCACATTGCAACGAATCAAACAGAAAACCCGAAGATACTTACTCAAGGGCAGAGGAAGGCTTGTCATTTTGCTCATATAAAGCAACAAGAACTGGAAGACAACAAAAGAGAAAGAATAATATTCCACTAGTAAATTGATATATGGAATCAAACAATTCAAAGAAGTATCAGTAACTTCAACAGACTGTTGTGATTGGGGAAGAAAGTAGAGAAACCTTTGGTGAGAGCGTCCACAGCTCCGCTTGACTCCAGATATTTCCTGAAGGCTTCCTTCTTCGCCTCTTTTTCCTGAATCAATATTTCCTAGTGAGTCATGAAATTAACGAATCACCGATTCTTAGAATATCAAACATTGTACACCTTCATCATCGATAATCGGAATTCAACACACACACACACACACAGAGATAGAGAGACAGAAATAGTTTATAACCTCTTTGTATCGCATCATGATCTGGTTTCCTTCACAACCACCAAACCTGATTCGGTAATGATGGGTGTAGTGGAGAACCATGTAAATGCTGCACTTATTTTAATGGTGTGGGACATCCCGCGGTCTCTCCAAGCAGCTAATGCGAACCGTTCGTTGGATCTAATGGTGGAAAAGCTGGCCCTTCTTTTTCTATTAAAAAGCAAAATTAGACAATGAGAACTAAACTACTTTAATGCCGGTCGGTTAATGAAGTCATCTCCCTAGACAGCTTACTAGGCTTGTTGATTTTCTGATTGTACTGTGAATCTGGCTAGTTTTTTTGGTTAACCAGATTCCTTCCTTGTACAAAAACTTCTGGGGAATGAACTCATTTTTCCACCCAAAAAAAAAATACATATATATAATATATACATGAGAATACAATAACAGAGGAACGACCAGGTGCCAGGAGCGGAGATGGAAGAGAAGATGGCCGACGATCTTCGGCGAAGGACCTTCAAGAGCGTGATGGTCTCCTCACTAATCTACAGCAAGCCATCGGCTTCTAAATCGCCACCGCGAAGTTGGGAACTCGCAGTGGATAGAAAAGGTGGGAATTCCAATAATTGGCCCAAAAAAATAAAAAGGGAATTTCCAAAGTTTGCGTGTCGTATGAATTAGGAAAGCCGAAATCCAAAGAATGATGAACACAGCCCAGAATGATGAAAGACTGGCAGAGAGTCTCAAAATAAGTTAAATTCTCCACAAAATTTATAAATATTAATTTATAATCATAAATTTAGAAATTCTCATTACAAATAAAATATTTAAATTTTAAATATCACTTTTAATGTATGATTGGAATTTTTGTTACAATTGAATCGATATTTATAATTTTTTTAAGAAATTTTTATTTTCATTTTTTCAAAAAATAATTTTATAATATAAATTACTATAGTTCATTGAAAAATAATAACAAAAGGACAAAAATAGTTGTCAGATTGTATATCGGGCCGAATAACACAATGAACTTCCCTGCCTAATCAGTTTGGGCTGGGCCAGGTCCATACACCATCCCGATGTATGTCTTTTTCAATGAGTACTAATTTTATATAACTATTTCATGTGATAGATTAATTATATAAATTGATATTATGTAAAAATAATGAATAATTAATAAGAAGCTATAAAAAATTTGTGCAACCAAAAGTATAAGTTTGGTAAAGAGGATATGTCCTTTGATATCAACATGCATAAAAACTTTTTAAGTTGTCCTTCTTAAGCAACTAGAAGGGATCGCATCTTCAGCAAAGGAAAAGAAAGAATTGATCATATTAACCTAGGAAGTGTTTGAACTTTACTATAAAAGCATGAAATAATGGTCATACGAAAGAAGAACAGCTGTTTATAAATATCAAAAAAGAACAACTGTTTACGTCCCCATAAATGATTATGAGACAATTTACTCGGCATGCATCCTCAATTACAAGCATCCTCTTTATTACAAAACTAGGATGATAAATTGGTATCAAGAATTATGTAATTTACCTTCCTTGAGATGTTATCATCATTAAAAAAATGCATATGTAGGGCAATAAATAGATTCCCAGACTATTACACCTGAGTACTATTGCAAATGTCGCGTCGTTCAACAATGGTGCATGAAAGCAATACTTCTTGAACTGAGTTTTTTTTTTTTTTTTAACCTGAGGAACTGAGTGTTATTAACATCTCCGAAAGAAGCACGACATCTCACTTTCATAATCCAAAAATCCATGTTGACACGTAAATTGAATGCCTTGGATCAGGAATCAGATATAGTACACAATAATGACAATCGCGTCAAATTAGAAAGTCCTCGAGTATTTCCTAATTTCGTACATGATTGAAGATATGGAAACAAGATCCTTGTTCAGTGCAGACCCACCAACGATCTTCTTTATGCAATCCGAAAGTCTGGTATAATAAAGCAACAGCTGAGTCAATGCAGCCCTTAATATCTCCATACCGCACAAGAAATTGCTGAAAGAAGTAATGACATCTTTGTGCATCAACTCTATTGCAGCCTTCCATCTACTAGCAAAATCCTTCACCAGCGGCTCCACTTCAGCGACGGTTATGGGCTTATCAGAACTTGAAGTGGGGTCCTCAGCTGATATATTTCACATAGTTGAGTCAAATTTCAGAAAAAATGTAAATGCAGATAAAATGTCCTGCGGTGTCATTTATTATGGTACTCACAGGCTCTGGTCTTCACAAATTTGATTAAATCGTTAAAATGTTCCTGAAGCAATTCTTCCTGCAAGAATGAAGGACAACTTAAAAGAAAACTGCAGTGCAGATAAGGAGGGTTAAATGTTTATATTCCCTACTAAATCTATAGTTACCCCTCCCCTTTTTGCAAGTTCTTCCCAAAATTCTGGAGAACATAACTCTTGTGTTTGACAAGCATATAAAATGGCTTCTTCACTAAAAGTGATTTCTTGAGTTGCCCCAGGTATTTCGATAAAAAAATAACCAGCCACCTCATCCGATTCTTACAACTAAGACTTCACAAGGTTCAACTTCTGGAAGGGAAATGGTGAATTTTATACATGGACGTATCATCATGATAAGGAGAAGACTTAGATACCATTAGTATATACTTAATATACTCTTATCCAATCAATTCAGAACAAATAGACTTTAAAATATTAATAATATTAATAACAAAAAAATTTTATAGAACAAATAATATATAAAAAATCTATATGTCTTGATTTGATTGGAAACAAGCATATATATAAAATCAAGTATTTAAATTTTCTCCCAATGATAAAACATGCTAAACTAAAGCTGACTTTAAACCACTCTAAACAATGTCTTTCCCTTACTGAGACCAGATATTAAAGAAAATGATTGCAGTTACCACAAATAATGCTGTATTGCTCTTCAGCAGTTCCTCAAAGTGCATTTGAATTTTCCCACCTTCAGGACCTGCTTCCTGGAATCAGTCAAGATGAAAAGTTTCAATTGCTGAGGCTAAAAGAAAAAGAGCAGTCCATGATCATCGGTGTGTGTGGGAACACATTGCCAGCAGGTTAAGTGAGCTTTTGCTTTCACGTTTCTAAACTATGCCTTTCTCTTGACACGTCTTGCTTGATGCAGATATGGTGATACCCAAAAATAAAAAAGAAAAAAGGGAGCAGTCCACATGCAATTTAAAGTTTCAACATGTGTTCAACATGGACAAGACTTCTTTTCAAGGTGAACTTGCTTTATAATCTATAATCAAAAATGAAATACAGGATCAATTCAAATATTCCTACCTTTAGGACAGCAATGGTCATATCATAATTGTTTATAAGAAAAACAGTTTGCAGCTTTGGCTTTGGAAAATTCTTGGCAAGCTTGATAAGTAAGTCGTCAATAGCCATTCTCAATCGCTCCAGATTCAATTCAAGCTGAAACATACAAGGAGAAAGATTGCGCATCACCAATTTACAAAAGAAAACTTCATGCCTCTAATTTTTTTTTCTTATTACACTGACCTGGCCATCTCCATACTCTACATTTAAGTGGATAAGGGAAGCTGTAAACTCAGCATAGCGTCTCATGACATAGTGAGGATGAACATCATCTTCCCATAATGTCTTTACATTTGCATTACGCAGGCTGTTGAGGTGCATGTCAAATACCATCTTAAAACGAGGCCATAGGGAAATATTGACCTGCCCAAGTTAAGATCCAACATCTATTACGGATCAAGCTTACTAAACTCTGTACGTCACATGCCTATTGACTCTTTTTTTTTTCTTTAATCAGTTTTGTCCATTAAAACCGCCAAATTGCAGGTCCATTTAAATATTGACTTTATACTTGAGCTGGAATTCATAAATGACAATAAATATGCAGTGAGAGAAATATGAGGAAATCAAAACGCACTCCATAACTTGTAACAATCTTTAGTCCTTCGCAAAACAAATAGAGAAATCATGCAAAATGATCTATCAATAGTTTATGTACTAGCATGATTTGTTCAATCTAGAAAGGGGGCAGATGAAAATTTTAGAAGACTTCGTATTCCAGCAATTTCAAATTCCAATCATGCTTGAAGCTACACTCCAAATTGATTAATAATTAAAATAAAATGAAGTGATAGTGCAGAAGCAATATATATACTATAAAAAAGTGTGACTTTTATAAGATCACTTGAACAAAAGCTTATCATCAAAACTATAGTTGTTCAGTCATCTACCAATTTCATATTTTTTCCCTTTTGCCCTTAGTTATTATTTTGACAATATTTTATTTCTACTAGTTAAGACTATGAGTTAAAAGAAGATAACATTTCGCTATATACCAGGTGAGCTATTCCTAATTTATGCATTAATTCTTTGTGTATATATGTTGTTTATTCTGCTGTGCTACATGTCATTTATAGAGAGCATAGCTGGTTTATATGTTTCATCCAATTTATATCTTAATAATGTTGATGAATCATCTGCAACTCCATTCAACATTAGCTTTTCTCCCATTTTATCTGATTTCAATTATCTATGAAGCATTAAACAATGGGGCAGTTTCCTAACTTTATCATTTGATTTCAACCACTCCAATTGTACATAGCTAGATTGGCCCAACACAAATCCTACAGCTACTCATGAATCCACATCAATTCACCAGAAAATTTTATCTGGTCTTGCATGTCAAACTGACCTTGTCAAAGTAAGAATCCAAGCATGGGATTCGCCTCCGAGACATGATGAGCTGAAAAGAACAACCAAGTCAGCTATATATAAAGTAGATCATTTGAAGTTGCACAAAAAATATTTGCAAATGACAGTACATCTTAATTTTTTGCCTGAAAGTGCTGTGGAAAAAGGATGTGGTAAAGCTATGTCAACAAAATTTATTTCAAATCATATTGTCCAATCAGTGTAGTTAAAGGCGCTCATGTCAGCACCTAAAGCACTGAGGTAAGGTTCTGAAAAAAGTCCAGTGACTTCCACACTATGAGAAGCACCAACTTCACCCAAGCACTTTCCTGGCAGGGCCTTAGGTGCTTCAACCATCAATCAAGGCAAGCGCCTGATGCATGTATAATTTAATGGTTGAAAGGAAATAGGCAACTTAGAAGCCAAACCCAAATATTTAAAAAAGAAAGAAAAAAGGTCATAGGTAAAATAAGAAACTATAAAACCCAGCCTTAGAGGTTGACGGATGAGATAAAATAATGATATTAGTGGTGCATTTGGTGATTGTTATGTTTGATTAGCTAAATTATCTGTCAAAAGTTGGTATGAATTTACCACTCTTGTTTGTAAAGCATCATTTTAGCATTTTCCTGTTTTAGCATCTTTCTTCACTCAGGCATACACATTTTTAGTACATCCCGTCTAAGGTATTCTAGACTCGTAGCTCCTTAAAGGCGTCTTTGACATTGGACTACACAGTGTGCAATTATTTCTGTGGGTTAAATATTCCCTGAAAGTGTTGTTGACAGAATAGAGCATTTCTTGCGTCCCCAAACCCCCCCCCCCAAAAAAAAAGAAAAAAAAACTGTGAATGCACAATGGAGATTGGTTTTGTATGTATAAGCTAACCCCACATTGTTTGTAAAGCATCATTTTAGCATTTTCCTGTTTTAGCATCTTTCTTCACTCAGGCATACACATTTTTAGTACATCCCGTCTAAGGTATTCTAGACTCGTAGCTCCTTAAAGGCGTCTTTGACATTGGACTACACAGTGTGCAATTATTTCTGTGGGTTAAATATTCCCTGAAAGTGTTGTTGACAGAATAGAGCATTTCTTGCGTCCCCAAACCCCCCCCCCCCCAAAAAAAAGAAAAAAAAACTGTGAATGCACAATGGAGATTGGTTTTGTATGTATAAGCTAACCCCACTCACCCAGTACTGTACATGCAATGGGATGCAGAAGAAAAGGTCCAGATTAAAATATTGTAAGCATCATTTACTTATTTTAAATAGGTATTTACTAATTAATTTTGTCCCTAGAGACCCAGACTCTTCAGCCAATTGTCTGTAGGAATCCCATCCAGGAAGCTAAGATTCAGATCCTCAGAAAAAGTTCAAGGACAAGCTTCAACTTAGGCTAGGGTCGTCTAATTTGGATCAATATTGTGATATGCCAATGGTGCTACTCCACCCTAAGGCCACTTTGAAGGAGACTGGCTGGATAATATTAATGCAGTTTTTTCATTGCATTTCATTTGTTCTATAGAATGCTATCTAATCTCCTCTCTCAAAAATCAATATCAGTGTCTGTTACCTGATGTTGACGTATTATGCAAATCATTAGCATCAGCCCTATGGCATCATAGCAATTTTGAAGTATTAAACTGAAGTGCTCATCAATGACACCAAAAGGACCTGAAAATATCAAAGATGAAATACTAAGTAATTTGATTTTCCTAATGTTTTAGAACTCTGGTAATCTTCAGGCTCTTATGTGTGAGACAATTATGCTTACTCAAAAGATTTATTAAATAACCACAAAAAATATAATAGTGAACATTAAAAATTTCATTCCATACATCATAAGCAAGCACTTTGGCAGTTGACAATATGTTTAAAAATTAAGTAGAAAACACATCAATATTGAGAAACTTCACAAGTTATACCTGAAAATATTTCATAAAATATAGATTCCTCCACAAAGAAAACATCACAGAAATGATATCTGCAGATGAAAGAACATAATGTCAATATGCACATAACTGAAGATTTCAAGAGCATCATTATTTTATATGACAATACTAAGGCACAGAAAATTGCAAAGTACTCAGAAGTAGCAGTATCCATAAGCAGCTTCTGCAGGCTCCTGAACAAGACCTCGTATGGATATTTAGTGGAGCTGGCTTCAGCTATATGAGGAATCAATGCAGGTTCATCAATTTCCTGGTACCAAAGCAAATGTTAACAGCCTGTCAGTTATAAATAGTTCTCCAAAAGCCCCTAAAATTTGTAAAAGTCAGAATCATTTATAAAGAACCTTTAATATATTGATCCTATCCCCAAGAGCAAAAACTGCAGACCGGTTCTTCAATGGTTCCCAGGCCCTTGTAAAAAGACCGGTGCTTCTTGTCTCCACACCAATTAAATCATTGGATGTTGCAATATCCAACTGTAGTTTCTCAAGAGCTTGTATGTAAGCTCGGAAATGTGCACTAAGAACCTGCAAAAATAGAGCAGAATTAAATGCTTCAGGACATTCCTATTATATAAAGTTATTCTAGCCTCATGCAAATAAAACAGCAAGAATAGTAACATGGATCACCAGCCTCATGCTTCATGAAATTACTATTAATTATATATAAAATTGACAATTGTAGCCTGGATCACTATCCAAAATAGTTAGCATACAAGTAATCCCAAGAATAAGACTTTTAAGAACATTGATCATCTAGAGATAAGATTAAAAATAGAATAATTGATCAACATAGACCCAAAGTGACAGCTGCCAGACAGCATTTATCTGTTTCAGGCTGAAAGTGAGCTCCTTTCAGTCTCAAATGCTATCATACCCAGATTCAAACTCCATTAAAAAAAATTGCATTTTTGGTACTTAGGTAATTATAGCAAGCCAAGTTAAATAAAACCTAATCTGATAACACATTGGCCACAATGATGACATAAAGTTCACTAGAAAAGTTTCCCCTAAGCAAAATAACGTCCAATTGCCTCTTGAGCAACCAAACCTTCTCTACCCATAAAAGTTTCTCCAACATTTTGGTCAAGGAAAATCTTCATTCAATATTCTGATTATAACAAGTACCTTGTTCATTGTATCAATGTATGCTGCATGAACTTCATTGTATACCTCCTTGCCATGTTCCTTGAGAAAGGAAACAATATATCTACACTTGCATGCTCCCAATTGTTAGGCTTAAATAGAACCCATAGCTAACAGATAACCACAATGCTTCCAGATTCAAAAGCAACCAAGTGAAAAAAGATTGACTACATTTCACATCATTCTCTTTTTGGCTGGCTAAATAGACATGTGAATCTGACAGCAAGCAGAAAAGTAAACCAGAAAAGACAACCTTGAGAATATTCAGCAATTACATTCCACAAAGTCAAATAATACTTTCTATAAGACACAATCTCCGATGTCTTAGCTACCTCTGTGCTTCCAAGACTGAAAACAAATAAATTCAAACCCTAGGAAGCAATGATACTAATAAAAAACACAGCACATTGCACGAGATGCGCGAACACTGCAACACATGAAGATATATAGCATTGAAGTGCAATTTGAAGTGTCATGTTGGACACTATGTAGCTCCACTTTTTATGCGTCACAGTTTATAGTTTAATCCTATAGAATATCCATTCAAAAACGTAAGGCTGAACATATTCAATTAGAAGATCAAAATGTCAACTCTTGCTCAAGAGAGATGCATTTGAAGGAAATTAAACATGGAAACACCTTTAGCCATTATTTGAGGAAATAAATATGAGCTTATTGAATTATCCATGAAAATTAGGGGAAAAAATTGAGAAAATGTGTTATGAAGTAAAGCCAGCTTCATAGACATAACTAACGGAGAATGATTCAGACAAAAGTCCAAACAAATAATGAATTGCAAGAATTTCATCCAAATAAAAGAAAATAAATTGTACTTAGATTTTGAAGCAAACAAAATATCTATTGATGAACTAAATTTGAAATAATTATATTAGTATTTAAAAAAATGTCTGGGAAGGGGGGAAACTCACTTGTATTTTAACAGGACACTTTGTTGAAGAATTTGGATATTTGTTTTGGGTTTTCTTAGCGCATAGAGTTTCTGAACAATGAAGTCAAACACCTGTTAAAAATTAGCCATGGTGAAGTAATTGTTAGCCGATGGCATCTCACATGGAGAAAAATAAACAAATGCAAATTATCTATATTAATAAAACAAAGAAAGGAAGGCCCACAAACACTGTAATAAGATTACATAACCTTTGAAACTGCTTTCTGCCGGAGTTTTTCAAGCTCTGGTTGAACATCTTTTAGAGCTTTTGAAGCCTTAACCATCGGGTCCACTTCTACAAACTTCAGCTTCTTACTTAACATCTCAAGAGTTCGCATATATTCCTCATTGACCTGAATTACAAAGAGAAGAAGAAAGCTACAAGGGTATACTGGGCAATGTACACATCAAGTACTGGTGCACATGAAATTCTGATAGAGACTTGGTAGTATGGGATACCAAGTCCCACATTGAGTGGTATGGAATGCTCAATGGGGTATATAAGTGGGTTGGTTCTCCCACTTCAACAGCTAGCTTTTGAGGTAGGGTTCTCCATCCTACTTAAGTACCCGTCAATTGGTATCAGAGCCTCGTTGTCAGCAATTCCGGAAAGGGCTACCCACAAAGGGTTCTGACCAGAAGGAGATCGAGTTAAGTGCTGTGGAGTGTAGCCGTCGAGATGTCGGCTTTCCATGGGAGGCCAATTGATAGAGACTTGGTAGTATGGGATACCAAGTCTCACATTGAATAGTATAGGATGCTTAATGGTGTATATAAGTGGGTTGGTTCTCCCACTTCAACAGCTAGCTTTTGAGGTAGAGTTCCCCATCCTACTTAAGTACCCATCAAATTCATAATGTATACTTAAATGTAATGATTAAAACAAATTTGTCTTAGAACAAGATTAGAATGCCAAGGAAGAAATAGAAGAGACATCTTAACAAGATGTCACAATAACTTGTCAATCAAAGTCCCAAAGGGAATCATTTCATATATTTTAAATATGGCCATACATAATGACAACAACAACAAAAAACTTATCCCACTAGGTGGAGTTGGCTATATGGATTATACAAGGCTAGTATGCTCTATATTTATCAAGTTTTTAGAAATAATGTTAATTAAAAGGTCTCAATCAACAACTTCCAACAGTGTTTTCTTTGGTCTTCCTCTATCCCTCTTAACAGGGCTCGAAATTATAAATTTCATTATATTTACAAGTGCCTCCCGTGGTCTTTTTTGTACATATCCAAACCATCTCAAACGATTTTCCACCATTTTTCCTTTAATATGTGCAAAGCCCACTTTTTCCCATATGCGCTCATTTCGAATTTTGTCTTCACACGTATGTTTGCACATCCATCTCATCTTTGCTACTCCAACTTTATGTTAAAGCCCAACATTTGCTACCATAAAATATTGCTAGTTTTATAGCAGTTCGATAAAACTTCCCTTTAAGTTTATTGGATACATTACAATAGCAAATAATTCCTTTAGCCTTTTTCCAATTAAATCACCCAACTTGTATCCTATGTGCAATATCTCCATCAATTTCCCCATTATGTTGAATAATAGCTCCAAAATATCTAAACTTTTTCACTTGAAGTAAAATCTGATCACCCAATTTTACTTTCAAATTATTACTCACTGACCTCTTATCAAAATTACGATGTGAATATTTCATCTTACTCCTACTCAAGTAGAAACCTTTTGACTCCAATGTCCTCTCCATAACTCAAGTTTACAGTTAATCTTTTCTCATGTCTCCACAATAAGAACTGTATCATCAACAAAATGCATGCATTTGGGCATTTCCTCTTGAATATGCCCAGTTAGATCGAAGACTAGATCAAACAAATAAAGACTCAAAGATAATCCTTAATGCAATCCAATTTTTATAGGAAAATCTTTTGTTTCGCCACCAAACATTCTTATACTAGTTGTTGCCTACTCATACATATCTTGTATAATTCAAATATAGGCAACCCAAACACCCCTCTTTCCCAAAGTTTTCCAAAGTACTTCTCTCAGTACACAATCATAAGTTTTTTCCAAATTAATGAAAACCATATGTAAATTTTTACTTTTGTATCGAGACTTTTCCATTAATTCCCTTAGTAGATAAATCACTTCTGTAGTCGTTCTACATAGCATGAAGCCAAATTGATTCTTAGAAATATCAGTTTCCAATCTCAACCTATCATCAATCACTCTTTCCTATAATTTTATTGTATGACTCATAAATTTAATCCTTCTATAATTAGTACAATTCTTAATATCCCCTTTATTTTTATAAATAAGAACTAAAGTGCTCCTCCTCCAATCATCAGGCATTTTCTAGAATTAATGACATCTAAAATTAAGTCAACTGTTAAATTGAACAAAGTTACTAGCTTCAAAGAGAAAGATCACTGAAATGATAAGAACAAATTAAGATCTTTAGCCTTCCCAGTGCTCATTCCATAAGGCCTCGATCACTTGAATGATACAACATAAAAGGCAGGTTGTGGCAACAAGAAGTTGCAGGTGTTTATCATGTACACATGCAGATATTCAGAAACCATATGCTTCAACATTTGACACATTTATATCTTCATGAATTAATTAAGAGAGATCCTCAACCAAAACTGCCTCTTCAACATCTCAAAAAAAAAAAAAAACTGAAATAGATGTTCAGATAAAATCAAGAAGCAAGAGTGCTACAAGAAATGATTATATGCTTGTTGTACCAACAAAATCAATAAATCTAATATTAGTGAAACAAAGAAGATTGAGGGAATATAGACCTCTCCATCAACAATTATATCCACCATCCTTGGAGGGACTATTATGTCTTCCACAAACTCAGCCAATTTGGATTCAGCTACCTGTTGCAAGAAGACTATCGATCAAACAACATATTGCACCAGTAAGGGGGAAGGGCTGACAAATTCTTATCACAGGGATTGATTCAACTGTCAAATAGCAATCAGCATTAGACTTTTTGTTTGCACATCAAAATGACAGTATAATGCACGATACTAATGTCTACTGATTTAGCTTCCATGATACTATGCCAGGGGTATCACCCTTATCAACATTTTTAACTTTTTTGTTTAAAACAATGTTCATACCTTACGATTCTTAAGCCTCAAGCCCATATCCATAGACTTCTCCTGGAGAATTTTTATGTCTGAACTAATAGAACCAATTTCAGCCTGGCAAACAAATTTTAAGATAGAGGTAATAATTAGATATTCAATATCACAAAGAAATTCCATTCGAAATTGAAAGTAGTCCTTCATTTTTTTTAATAAAAAATGCAAGCCCGTAAAAGTCAAGCCACAAATAGCAAGAGCAGACAACTCCAGCTATGAGTTCGAGTTCAACATCTTTTTTTGTCCACAACTATTAATAATCTCCAACATAAAAACATACACATAACCGGAGATATGGAAGTTGAGTTAAAAACTTTGATGTAGTAACTATCTAATATAAAGATATGGAGGAAAAGTTAGAAAGATGACCCCACTGCATCAATTTGACTAATTTTATGAGTGAAAAACTGCTTTCTAGCTTTATATGCTGAAATGGAGAATTATTCAACATACATTAAAATAGAACAGTGAATGATATCGTCAGTTATCTCTATGCTGATCAAAGCTCATATATCCTAATTGCTCAGAGTGTCAACATACCTGAAATCCGCTAAGAAGAGTTTCCATTTGTGACAAGATACTATCACAATCTCGAATTTGATCATGAAGAGAGACTAGATTATCACTTTCTCTAATATAATCCTGCAGTGTTTGGAGCATTGGGGAAAACTAATTGATTAGCACACTATCCATAATCATGGAATAAAACATGATTATTACTAAGGAATAAATGACATAATAATAGTTGTATAATAAAGGCAAACATGAGAATCCTTTCTAGGTAAGACTGGAGCAGGAGCTGCAGACACAGTTGAACGGAACCCTATAGCAAGAAGAAATATTGTGGTATCAAAAATCAAGAGGCAAATGGTTGATGGAAACACAAGCTCATGGGGATGGAAACACAAGTTATTATCATAATATGATAATAAAATAATAATACCTTGGCAAGAAGAAGAAGCAGCAGCTGCTATGGTTGATGGAAATTGAAGATAGCTGGGTGCATTTATGAAGAAACTGGGGGTTTGTCTAGTGTAACAGCAAAACTGTGGGGTGCGCTGTTGGGAATCAGATTAGCTATGGAGTTCAGATTGAGGAAACTTATTGTTGAGATTGATTCTATATTCCAATCACTGTAGTCAGTATGTGGAAGGAGGTTTTGGGTAGGAGGAACAGTAAAGAATCAGGTGCTGAGGCCGATACAAATGGAAGTTAATGTGAAATGGCAAATAATGATGCAATATACTAATAGAGGGGGGAATGAATCTGCTAACTGGCTTGCAAACTTTAGTAACACTCAGGAGTTTGAGTTGAAGAAGTAGCTCAAACCTCTAGAGGGTTGTAGACCTTTTTTACTTACAGATCCTATGGGTGTTGCTCACCCAAGATAGATTTTGGATGTAAACAGTTAGCTACTGTAAAGGGTTACTGGGGACTTAGGCACCGTCTTATGCCCAAAAAAATAACTTGATCACAACATAATCATAAAAAATTGTAATTCATAAGAAATAACAGAAGTCGCATTTTTTCAATGGAGGAATGAGATAGTATAACCATGGTGTCATGTCTACTTTCGAATATCAATACCAACATTGCAAATGAATAAACATTCACAAATGTCACAAAATTAACCACAAACCTGAATTGAATCCAATTCCACTTTGCGCAAATTGTTCTCAACACCTTTTGTATAATCCCTCATTTTTGCACCTTTAGATAATATGTTTGCGACTACCTAGACAAGAGAAACAAAGTTAATAATTATGTCTATTCATAAATGTAGTTGCAGAATAGAAATTGTAAGCATGTTAGAAAGGCAAGGGAAATTGGGAAAACTTTTAAACGATGTGTATTGGAACCACAAACCAAAAGAAATTAGCTTTGTTCGTAAAACTGCAAACTTATGGACTCATAATGTGCCAAGTAACTATACATGCCTGTCATGTTCTATATTTTGGAAATTCAATCCATGAGTCCATGTCTGTGATTGTGTCTCATCGGTTACCAGACTAAACATTAGTCAAGTTACTGCAAAAGCCTAGTGCACAAGAAAGTGTTTTTGGATTCAACATCAGACCACATCCTAACTTAAATACCCATTGCTAAGAGAAAGCAGACATGCTTGCTGTGCAATTGATCAAATTTAAACTCCTAAAGAGGGGGGGGGAATGCTATCACAACAGCATTTGTAATTTCTCTGCAGTAGAGTTTTGTTGAGAACAAGTACAAGCATCACAGGCAAAACTGTTATTGTAACTAGAAACAGAATGCGGAAAACATGTTATGCCTGTCCATAATCACATAAGGGAAGTACACCTGCCCCTTGGGAACCATTTCACAAGCACATAGAATACCAGATTTTCCAAAACACTGATAATCGACTCACTTACTTCATCATTTTTACATTCTTCCAGTTCCTGTTGCAGTCCTTCCAACGATATATCATCGCTGTATCAAAAGAATCTCAATTTAAGTACCTCAGATAAAACTTTCACCTAAATCAGGATGACAATTGGCAACGTCAACATGAAAAAAGGATCTAATCTGAAGTGGTCGACAAAGTAGTCTTCGAATTTGAAAGCGCCATATCAGAATACCTGCCTAGGTCTTCTTCAACAGTCAAGTCTCCAACAAACGCTCCCAAGTCAAATCCATTTTTTGGTGTAACATTATTTTCACCAAAAGAAGGGCCCTGCATCCCATTAAATCACTCACAAACAAATAAAAGAAAAAAAACAAAAACAAAGCAAAGAAAGAAGGAAACAAACGCATGCTCTATTAGGTTATTGATAATTGTCTGTGAATCAAGAATAAATGCAGAACATCACAAAATGAAAAGTTCACAGATGAAGCTGTTTCTGCTAATGCTGATCTTCAATGGAGGGGAAAATCAGAACAAGTAGACAGGTTAGTAGTTAGTACCACTGTGCTTTCGGCAATTTCAGGCATCTTCCTCGAGCAGCTCAATTGCAGAACCAAGCCACAAGTTTGGGCAATATCAGGATAGATTTCTCAAATGGAGCACAGAACACTCAACGGCATCATCCAATCCAATACATACTAACTGAGCAGTTGCCTGCCAACACTGAGATTTCACAAAAGAAACACAAAGCAATTTTGTTACACTTGAGATCTGGGGGGAGTTGATCGACGATTTCCTTCAATATTGCTCTTCTCTTTCTTCCTTTGTTTTTTTTTTTTTTTCCCTGATTTTGGAACGCTGTGTTAAAGCTGGACGATTGTTTCAGGTCCAAAAATAAAATAAAATGATTATAATTACAGTTGCAGAAGTCAGGAGACAGGGCCCAATGACGTCAGTTTGGGCTTTTTTTTTTCAACCCATCTATGGTGCTGCGTTCAAAACAAGACTGAGCTGATTCCTTTTTTTTTTTGGGGGGGGGGGCAATAAACAGAGCTAATCCGTTTGGTCCACCAAGAAATGCATGAACAAGACTCTGATACTTTTGGCAATAGACTGAGCTGATTCTGGGTTATCAAGTCTAATTAAAAAGAAAAAAAAATTCTATATTTACATACGTTAACCTCATACGTAAGCAAGCAGTCATAGACCGATTCAACGTCATCAAATTTAATTGGGTTAATTATTTTAACATGATCTTTTTTGCACAAAATTTAAAATTTTCACCGTATTTTCTTTCACTCAATCCCATCACTTACACGTTAATATGTATAAATAGGAACAAATTTTTATACAGCTCTTTTTTTATACAAAAATAGGAACAGTTTTTAATGTAAATGATTGGAAAGATGGGTGTTTTAGAAAAATTAATATATTTTTTGCAAAAAAAAAATAATTTTTTTGTCTATATGAATTAATTATCTAACTCTTATATTTAGGGCATAAGCGAATAACATATTCCAAGTGAGAGAGATAGTATGGTATTTGCAGGAGTTAGAATCTCTTGATCGTTACTTCTTCTTCTTTTTTTGACATTAGACCGCTCGATATCCTAAGGTATCTTAGGCTTATTATCCATCCCAAACTAAATCTGAACCCTTGTATTAGAGACCTTACAGTGGTTATAAGTACCGATGAGATGACCTTTTTTATGTTGCTTTAATTATCGTGTCTATCACTCTTTAGGGTTCAAACCTTCGCCCTAAAAAATGTCAGTAATAACCCTTGCCAACTCTACCCACCACCCATTAATTCTTGATTATTACTTCTATTATATATGTATAATTGATTGTTACTTTTAAGTTAGTTGATAAAGACAAAATGTGGGCTCTTATGGGCTAACTTGTGATTGAGCCAACAAACAGGCTAACTGAGCCGTATATTTAGATTTAACATATCGTGAAGTTTAAGGGGCCAAAGTCAAAAAGCAGCTTTACATCAAAAAAAAATTATCAGCTTAAAAAAATTGGTTCATGAGCTTGGGTACACAATTGATGATGAAAAATCTTGAAAAAATAGCATCCAATGACCACTGTGTGTTATTTATATGAGGTGAGGACCAAATGATTTGATAATAGTTCTACAATCTTTTGGTCCTTCTTACATACTAATTTCATAAGCGAAAAGACTAAAATGCCTCTCAAGTAGTTAAAAAACAAGAGAAAAAAAATCTTATTATCATCAACAAGTTCGTCAGAGCCCCTGCTGTCAGCAGGGTCACCGAAGCTCTGGAGCTGGCGACATTTTATTCAAGAAATAAGATTTTTAGGTAGTTAAGGAAAAGTTTGATCTCATAACCCTTAGCCACCTAAAAAGCTACTAGGCCAGCAAATTCTTCCATAACATATAACAAATATATATATAGGTAGTAAATCAAGTACAAAATTACTTTCATGTAATAACATAATGGTGTATTGTTAACTTATGAATGGAACTTGTTATTTTACAAATGTTACTTGTTAATCTAACATGGATAATTACAAATAGGGGCTTTAAAACCTCACTCATTTTACTTGTTAAAAGCCAAAATGTATTATTATTAATTACGAATAAATTGTTGTCAACATCAAACAAATACTCGTTGGTGAAAAATCTTTCTATTAAGTTTTTTAACTTGTCAAAACCATAATAGATTCTCATTAGTTTCAAATAAATTATTGTTATTTTACAAATGTTACTTGTTAATCAAACGCAAACAACTACAAATCGGGGGTTTTAAAACTTCATTCATTTTACTTATTAAACATCCTAATGTATTATTGTTAATCATGAATAGGTTGTTATCAAATTCAAACGAATACTCATTAATGAATGACTAACCCGTACAACTAAACTCTTCATATCAATCTTTCTAACTTGTCAAAACCAAAATAGATTCTTGTTAATTTCAAATGAATTGTTGTTATTTTAAAATCATTACTTGTTAGTCTAACACGAACAATTACAAATTGAGAGCTTTAATGTATCATTTGTAAAATATATTTATTTTAATTTAACAATGGAGCAAAATTGCCTCAAATTCAATTGTTTAGAGTTCAGAATGTATTAAATATGAGTTAAGAGTTCAAATCACCCTTGAACCTATAATTCAGATATAAATTGTATATTAATCTTTAAAACTTTGCAAAAATAATAAAATTTAGGCTATGGTATTTTGAAACTGGACTTAGAAGATGAAGTTGAGAAATTGTGGTTATCTTATCTAAACGTTCCCTTCAGAGTTCTCTACAGGAAACAAGAGAGCCATTTTTGGTTTATTAATAGCATTGGATAAGCACTGGCATTTTTGTGAACTTAAAGTCAAGCTGCCATTGTGAATTCATATGAATTGAACGTGGACAGAAAAAGACAGGAGGGACTAACTTTCGCTTCAAATATCAACAATTGAGATTAAAATTGAACTGTTAGATGCGGAATTTAATGTAAAATAATGTTATAACAAGCAGTTGGTAAAAAAATTATAAATTTAGATAATCCATCAAGAAGAGAAAGGATTATGCTTGAAATTGAATTGAAAAATAAAAGTCCTAATACAAAATGTTATGATCATTTATTTAAGCACGAGCCTCAAGTTCCAACGCATATAAATGTAGGAAATATTTTCAAAAAAATTACTATTAAGTTCGACAATGCTCAAACTTAATTTAGTAAAATAAAAAAACTTATATATTTAATATTATATATAGAGTATGTATTAGATATTTTGAATTAAATATGTAACTCTTTTAAAAAAAATGAAGGAATTCATAAATTATTGTGATTACCTTATCTAAATATATGATCTCATTCTTTTGGTTTTATTTTTAATTGTTAATAAATAGGATAATAATAGGTATTTTTGTGAACACAAAGTCAACGGCTCTCCTGTGGGGACATGGAGAAAGTAAAAAAAAAAAAAGAAGAAGAAGAAGAAAGAAGAAGAAGATAATTTTAAAAATGGAAAAAAAAAAAAGGGAGGGGAGGGGGGAGAAGGAAGAGGACGAAGAAGAAGCGAGTGAGAAGTGGCGGTCCACGCAGCCGCAGAAAAACAGCAATTTGCACCAAGGCGCACGATGTTGTATCCACGTCAGCACACGTTTGCGCTTACCAAGTGGCCTATCAACAGTCTCGTGTGCTACACTTTTCACGCGCAAATTACGCCGTCCAATAATAACCATGTCTGAGTGTAATGTCTTATTGTATGATATTCACAGTTCACAAATCATGTGCATTGTACAACGACTGGCCGCACGGCGACGCTATAAGGATTTAAAAATCGTAATTGTTTTTTTCAATTATTTAAGTATAAAATATCTTCTTTTAATATTATAAAATATTTTTGTAAAAATATTATATTAAAAATTACTGTCGGTAGGATTGTAATTAATAAAAATTATTAATTCAAATAATATATTAAAAAAGGGTAATTATTTTTTTATACTATAAATGAGGGTAATTATAAATGCCATGAATATGTAAATTTATTTAGGATGTAAATTAATTAAAAATGTCTTTTTAGGATTTTTTTTAAATACCTTCAGTTGGTTTTTGGACAATTTTCTCATTCTTTCTTTCCTCTATTCTCTTTCGCAATCATCCATTTGTTTTATGGCATCTGTATTCCTTTCTTTGAAAAAGTGGGTTTTCTTATGCAGTTTATTTTATAATTTCTTTATTTTTTTAAAAAAAATTGGATTTTCTTATGTGTTTTTTTATTTTTCCTTAACTATCCAGGTCCTTTCTTGTCCTCCAGTCTATTTGAATTTGATCATATCAAATACGTTGGTCGTATAACGATGTAGGTATATGTAAAATTATCTCACCCGAGCTTATAGCTAGGGTTATTTTTAAACTATAAGGCATTAAAGTTTAAAATAATACAGTAAATAAGATATAGATATAGATAATTCCAATCTATCACAATATTATTATGTTAGCTTTTCAATTACTATTAATAAAAATTAGAATTAGAACTTGTGTTATGTTGATTTGTACCTGTTTCATCCTGTTTTCACACATGATCATTTATATGTTACTGCTTTTCACGTTCAAAACAATAAAGATTTAGGGCCCGTTTGGTTTTCCTCCGTTTCATGTTCAGAAAGTAAAATTTTACTTTCAAAAAGTTAAAAGTTGTTTGGGTAAATATTTCGCAGGAAAGCACCTCTTGAAAGTACATTCAAACAATAGCTGAAAGTGAATTTCTGAAACGTAACTATTTAAAATTTTTAAAAAGTGAATTTAAAAAGTAAGATGTTATTTGACCATAATACCCTAAGTTTAATCTCTTATTCTTTTATTTAAAAAATAGTTAATTCATTGAAAATATAATTATTATTTTAATAATAATAATTAGGTATCAATTTTTTAGTGTTATAAATTGAATAATTAATCATATTAATTTTTAGCATTAATATATATTAAAAATTACAAATCTTATTACATCTTTTAAAATTACAAATTAAAAAATACAAATAACTAGAGTTAAATTTTTAGCATTATAGATCAAAATTTATGTTACTTAAAATCTTTATTATATTTTGTAAATATTTTAAATATATTACATTTGTATAATAAAAATTATAAATTATTATAAATTAATGTCTTTTTGGTAATTGTACACTCAAAAGCACATTTTACTATCACAAATCAAATAACTTTTAATGTATCAAACTGATTTTTGAAAAAATATATTCAAATACAAATTTCATTACAATAATTAACTTTCACTAAACTGACTTTCACCAAATCAACTTTTGACAAACTGAAAACCAAACACATACTTAAAATTATTAGTTTTAATAAGAATGATCAATTCACAGATAGAACTTTTAATATTGTTTATAAGAATGTCTTCTTATAATTTGATCTAATTAATTATGATTTTTTGTTAACATGCTTCCCGTTATATCTATTCACATGTATGCATTTAATTTTAACAATCTACTTAATTCTAATATACATATTTAATATTGAAGATAATAATTACATAGCCTTGTTATGTGGATTAAATAAAAAGTGTGTTTGTTATAAATTATTCTTTCAAAAAATACCTTCCTATAAAATTGACATTTATTTGCAAAAATTGTAACATGAGATGCACAGGTAGCTTATTAGTTATTCTAGCGATGAATAGTGACAGCGCCGCAGAGCTATTGAGGTTTCTTTTTATTTTTTCTTTTTCTTTTTTGAAATTGAATCTCCATTACATTTGTGTTATTATTAATTTTTTATTAATATCAATATAAAATGTAAAATTAACATTAACAATACCGTGCTTATTCCGGTGGGGTGTTGTTTCACCGCAATAAAGTAACCCTTAAATGGCCGTATAATTTATTTCCAGTCATGGAAGAAATTTTTATGAATTTTGAAAATAAAATATGGATACATATATATATATATATTATTTTTTTGCCTATATATATATATATATATTCTACTACTGATAATGTTTTTTCAAACCCGTGTAATTTGTTTTTTTTTTAATTTATTTTTGAGATAAGACTATCCTATTCAGTAGTATTTATCATCACTAGGGCTAGAGCGGTTTGACCATTACAAGATTGACCACCGAGTAAAATCAAGGGGTTTACTTTTAGACCTCTTTTAGTTTGTTTTTTAGTTTTGATTTTGGCTTTCTTGCCTTCGCTGCACTGTAGATTGTTTCTGTTTTTATTAATTTTTTTTTTGTTTGGCCAAATCTGTTTTTATTAATTGAATCTCGTTTTCCTGTTGGTAAAAATAAAAAAATAAAAAATCAAGGGGTTTACTCCAGTTTTATTAAATTTACCAAAAGTAATTGTAATTTGTTCTCGTGATTTACTGCACTGACCACTAACATTACTATTATTTATTATGCATTTATCCCTTTACTGACTTTGCTTAACCACCGCTTTGTTTTCTGCTGTCTTTCTTTAAGTAACAGCGATGCGATGGTTTGCTAATTTGCTTCATTCAGCTTTCAATTCAACTCCACTGACGGCTCTTTGCATTTTTCTTACGGCGTCGTTTCACCAGGAAAAAAAAAAAAAGGGCAACCTTTCCCTGCATGATGCTCGCTCGCGCGCTCTCTCTCTCTCTCTCTCTCTCTCTCTCGTTCTCTTGTTGATCTCGCCTTTCTTCTTATTCCTCCCTTTCTCCTCTCAACTTTCCTCTATTCATTCCTTTCTTTTCTTTCAGACAACTCTCCTCTGAATCAAAAGAATACCGAAAAGTTGTCTTTTTATTAGTCTTCTGTTCAACTTGTTCTTCGTTCTCTTTTCCACCTACATCAACAAAAAATGAAGGCTTTTAATTCGGTAAGCTCTCTCGCTCTCACCATTCTGGGTTTTTCAATGATGGGTGTTCAGTCTAGTTTTTTGATTTTCTCCGTCGCTTTCATTTTTCACATGTTGAACTAATAGCTCCCTCTTCAGATTTTTGACGGGTTTGAAGTTTGAATTCTAAAATTTCGAAGTTAATTGTTTTTAAACTTCGAGGATGAAATTTCAGTTGGATTTGAATTACATCTTTGTTTACTATCTTCTTCGGTGGTGAGATTTTCTCAGAGAACTAGTTTGAGTTCGTAGTTCAGTTTCGTCCTTCGTCAACTTAAAATCCTTTGATTGCTGGCTCCACCATAAGAGACTTTACTCTGTTTATTGATTTTTTTTTCGTTTGTATTTCTGGCGAAGGAAGAGTTTTTTAGTTGCTTTCAAAGTTCAAATGACTAAATTACTTCAATTCCAATCGTGTGAGGCAAGACTGGCATACTTTTTTTTTTTTTGGTTCATGATTATCACAGAAGAGAAGAAACTGAAATTGCATTTTCTTGTTGCCTAGACTTGCTTTAAACTTCATCACACATTTATTTTTTCTCAGAATATTCTGATTTTTGAATAATTAGGTAGACTGGTGGTTCCATAGGGGTTCATTTTCTAAATAAAAAAGTTCATTTTTGGTGACATGTTACCTCTTTTTAGTATTTTTACATTCGTTTAGTTATGTAAAACATTAAAAGAAGGGAAAAATGTGCTGCCTGGGATCAGGCCCAAACGATGATGAGAAATCTTTAGTTGGAGCTTTTCAGAATCCATTATGTCATATTGACTACCTCTTTAAATTGTCTGAATGCTTGCTGGATGGTGTAGCAACTAAGTATATAAATTGGATCAGTGAGAATCAACCTTTCATTGTAAGAAATCATTTTGTGATTTAAGATAACTTCGATTTCTCATTCTTTTCTGTCAGGCTTTAGGATCCGCAGAATCAAAGAACGGGTTGTTGCTTTTGACCTTCATCATTGCGGTTTCTCTAATTTGTGGAGTTTACTTTGTTGGTGACACATCCATCGCAAAGGAATACAAAGGAGTATGTATCTCCAATTTTTATTCTCAAAGTTTTGACATTGCACTGTGAGAAAGAAAAATAGAAAATAGATATGTTATAAGGAATTTCATGTATATGAATTATATGATGATTTTCTTCTTTTGATCACAACGACCAGATGAACGGTCTTGGTGAAACTAGTATTATGAAATAGTTATGTAATTGTAGTGAAACATTTACAGATTGGCTTGGAGCTTGAGGCCAAAATCAAAATTAAAATTTAAAATTATTTTTAAAAGTTTATATTAAACCCACCCAAAACATTAGGCTTAGATTAGTATGTCTTTGCAACTTTTTTTTTTTTAAAAAAAAGTTGTGATATGACCTGAATTTAGTTACTGTCAATTGCCTATTTTTGTTGTGGACAAACTGTTCTAGGTTTTAGGCTCTGATATGTTGGACCATAATTATTTGTTAAATTTCACTTGACCTTACAATTCTTTAGTATTTTTCAGAAGAATGAGTTTGAAATCTGATTAATGACTATCCAGAAAATACTTTTTGACATCATACATGCAGAAATTAGCACAATGGGGTCTAATCCGCACAATGCAGAATACAAAACCCACTGAATGCAAGGTTTGTCTACTTTTAGGGAAAGACATCTTTCGAGAATGATTTGTAACTTTACTTAGAATTTAGCTGTAATACTCTCTCTCTCTCTCTCTCTCTCTCTCTCCCCCCCCCATCTCGCCCTTCAGAGTCACTGTAGACCATCTGGAACTGAGGCATTGCCTGAAGGAATTGTCGTCAAAACATCTAACTTGGAAATGCGACCATTGTGGGATTCAGGTGTAAATAATGTATGTCAAATATGTGCTTTGTACTAGCCCTTAGTTTATATTTGTATTTAATCATTAAGATAAAACTAAATGTCAATGCTGGTCATTAAACTTTGCATGAAATGAAAAATGCATATTCTAGGATAGGCATAAATTTTCTTGGCTTTTACTTCAAGCTGCTTGATTGTTGGTTGATCTTAGGTTAGAAAATTAATTTGTGGAATGAGTATTATTTTAGTTTTATATAGTGGCTACTGTATGCATAATGCATATCAATTGAGAGGCGAATATTTATTTGAAACTTTCTGGAGAACTTATAATCCTACTAGCCATATAGGTGAAGCCCTGTACTTTGTTAATTTCATTTTTTCTTCCTTTATTTTCCTTCAAATTTATTCCCTAACACTCTTTTATGCAAATTCTTTCTTCAGAGAAATTCAAAGCCCTCACTGAACTTGTTGGCTATGGCAGTAGGAATTAAGCAGAAAGCAGTTGTCAATAGAATTTTACAAAAGGTGATTGCTGCTTGACTTATATAGTTTGACTTTTTTCAAACTTTCATATTTTTTATCTTCTAACTTCACAACTGATTGCAGTTCCCTTCAAGCAATTTTGTTGTGATGCTTTTTCATTATGATGGTGTTGTGGACGGATGGAAGGATTTAGCTTGGAGCAATCATGCCATACATGTGTCTGCATTCAATCAAACAAAATGGTATTGACTAGATTATATGTGAATCTGTTTTCTCAAATTGTAGTCAGCTACTTGCAGAATTAAATTTCCATGTATTCATTGAATGTAATAATGATATTTGATGGCATAGGTGGTTTGCCAAACGTTTTTTGCATCCAGACATAGTTGCTGATTACAATTACATATTTCTGTGGGATGAGGACATAGGTGTTGAAAACTTTGACCCAAAAAAGTAAATCATTTGCTTTTCCATTTGTCAAAAAACTACACATCATCATTGATGCTTCATATTGACAATATCAATTATCTTATAGGTACTTATCTATTGTCAAAGAAGAGGGACTTGAGATATCACAGCCTGCACTTGATCCCAGTAAATCGGAAGTGCATCATCCACTCACAGTTCGTAGAAGAGGATCAAAAGTGCACAGGTTAACTAAACTTATTTCTTCCCTCAGTCTTCTACTGGTTAATTTGTTCAGTTCAGCTCTGTTAAGTGTACAAGTGTGTATTTATGAAAAAGTTCAGCTAAGTTATATAAATCAGTTATTGTGGATCAGAATCATCCATATCTAATCGAGCACATGCATGAAATTGAAATGATACTATACTGGATTCTATTATCCCCTCATCCACTTGGTACACATGTGATATATTTCATTACAGTTTTTCAGTCCTTTAGTTATGCTTCTGATACTCTATTGTTTTGGTCTGTAACAGAAGGTATTATAAGTTAAAAGGTGGTGGAAGGTGTGATGACCATAGCACTTCTCCTCCTTGTATTGGGTAAGTAAACAGTCCGATACTGTATATCATACTGTGCTGTTTTAACTCAATATCATCCTGTTCTCTTTTTAATTAAGTTCATCCCATCAAAATCAACTATGCTATCAAAGTGGGCCTTCAATTTAATAATGAAAGAAGTTATATTGCAGTTGGGTGGAAATGATGGCACCAGTGTTCTCTAGAAATTCATGGCGATGTGCTTGGCATATGATACAGGTATTGAATATTTGATAAGAGAACATTCTCAACCAAGCACCTAACTATATTCTGAAAATCACGAGAACAGTATCTGACACTAGTGGCTTGATATGCTTGTGTGCATGACAATCACTTTGCATGTGGGTATTTGAGGCGAATGTTTATAATGGTATGGACTATTGAATGTTCTGATCCTTTTTAGCCTTTTATGGGATTATAATCTGGGTTTATGCCTGAGCAAGTCATTAGATTTACAAGGGTGTTTCAAAACGATGTGCTCTAGGTTGCACCACATTTCTTGTCTAAGGACAGTCAAATGAAATGAATGACCCTTAAAAATGTAAGACTTTTTATACTTAGTTTATGACTAAGATGGTTCTTATTTCTTCTACATCACCGCTCTACCTCCATCTCAACAGATTATCGATTACGAGCCTTCTATTTGCATGCCTATATATCTCTTTATAATTGGTTTGACTTACCTATCTTTTCTAACTTGAGGGTACCTACGAATCTCTCATTAGTTTGTTCTATTGTAGGGTGTGAAGTATGATGGCATTTTTCTTTTATATCTATAGTTGGTGGTATGGTGCTGTTTCGCTTAGTAGGGCTATTTTAATCTTTCAATTTTGCACTATTTATCCTTTAATGGTCATGTTTTCTAATCATCTTTTTATCCACAGAATGACTTAATCCATGCATGGGGCCTCGATAGACAGCTTGGTTATTGTGCACAGGTAATTTGCTCGTGCAGCAGATTCATTTTAAACGCTTTTTCCTTTTAGTTGTTACATATTGACAATATTTCAGGGTGATCGAATGAGAAATGTTGGTGTAGTTGATTCTGAGTACATAGTTCATTTGGGTCTGCCAACTCTTGGTGGTTCACATGGCAATGAGGTTGGTAATCTCCATTCTTTTATGTGACTATCTTGTTTGGTTGCCGTGTTGGGTCTGAACACACATTTCAACTAATTTCATTTCTTGGAAGGTACAATTGCCAGTGATCACTTCAGAGCTTATTTTTTCAATTGAGTCTAAGCTTTTTTGAATCCAATGCAGATAAGTAGTAAAGCTATGGCACATCCTCCAAGTTTGGATGCACTGGTACATATTCTGAAGTCAAGTTCTGTTTCATTTGACCTTTTCATTATTATTAATAAAGTGTTTGTTCCTTTATGGGATGGCAGGCACCATCACCCTCTCATGAAGATATTGCTAGAGCTAAAGTAAGAGCTCATATATTCTTCTCTGTGAATCTTCATACACACACACGCGCACCCCACCCTTGCATCAAAATTAAAGGTTAAGATTATTGTAAATAGAATTACTGTTGATGTGATAATGAAGAAAGGAAGTCATTTCACATTCATAGGTCGTTTTACCTTATGTTGATATTAAACTATTGATGATGTGTTTTAATCTTGAATGCTAATTTTGATTAAAAAATGGTTAATAACCCTTCTGACCTCTCACCATACACCTTGAACACCAATTTGCAGGTGAGGATGCAGTCATTCATTGAAATGCAGGTTTTTGCACGAAGATGGAATGATGCTGTCAAGAATGACAAATGCTGGATTGATCCATATCAAAAACAGTCAAACCAGACAGACCATTAGTTTGATATTTATGGCTTTGACCAGGCACAATCCTTGCCGGTGGTGATGTTCATACTCAAATGTTCGAAACCAATGCATTTTACAAGCATGTGAGTTTTGCAAGCAACTGATACGATTAATTTCTTGTCTTAGATGGTGATTGGTGTTTTCATTGGAGCCTCGGTAGATGAAACTTCCAAGAGTATGGGGACTTCACAATTTTCCCCTCATTCAAGGGCTTTTGCTATAATGGTTTTTGTGATTGTTCCATTAATTCATTACTTTAAATTATCGCTTGTACATAGGGAGGTATAGAGGTGTACATTTTGTTTAGTTCTTTTATTTTATTTCTTTTACTGTGTGAATGCCAGTGCAAAGGGCTTACATGGCTAAACAGCCTATGATACATTCTTCAGATAATTTAATTTTTCTCTACCTTGGTGGGTTGCGGATGTTTTTCTTTCTTCTTGCAACTTTTTTTTCCTTTCCTTTCCTCTTTTTTTTTTTGCCTGAAACTTTTTTTCCTTTTCATTTTACCTATTGTGTTCTTGACTTCCTGCCACATTATTGTTTTAATAATTTTTTTCCTAGTTTTCTTTTGAAAATGTTATTGTGCCTCATGATTAGTGGTTATTGCATATTAAAAATTTCAATACTCATATCTCAAAATAATTATATCTAATACATTCTTATAACAAATAAAAGACTAGAAATGATAGCATAAAAAGTGGATATTATTATGCGCCAATTACACTATTCTGTGTCTTTTTTTGTAAGTCAAGTGACCATTGGAAGATCACCCTCAAATAAAGGAATCTTGTTCTGGGAAAAGTTGTTAAACTGTGCCTTGATTATACAAATGACTAGTGTTAGACCCGAAATATTTGCTTCTTCTCATTGGAAAATTGGAGAGAAACCATATCCAATTGGCTGAGAACACATAATTCTCTTTAGTATCTTTACATTTAGATTAATGCAAAATCATTTATAACACTCCCATTAACTTCTCTACCAATATCTAGAAACCAATATAGCACTTGAATATCCTTCTCTCTATCTGTGTAGCATCAAAATTTTCATAAGTGCATAGTTGTTGAAGATAAGTTAAGCAATGGCTCCAATGCAGTCGAGTCAAACTTGCGAGCAAAGAGAAAACAAACAGATGTCATCTCTGAATTATATCGACAGAGTGTTCCATTGTTCCTTATAGCCTGTAAGAATCTCACAGTGATATTTTCTCTACCGTAAGTTGCTGGATGAGGCCCTCCCATTGACCAATTCACCCATGTGACTGTTCTGTTAGCATTCATAGGACCATAGAACAAGTTCAAGAACGTTGGAATATAATGCTCATCTGGGTAGCAAGCAGGCTTACAATATTTGCGGAAGAGATTGTAGTATTTGGTGTCAGAAACTAAAAAAACAGCCACGGCACGGCGAACCTCAAACCACTGAGACCCTTTTCTCCAGTGTTTGAGTTGGATGTGGGGAAGCATATTGCGGCTGTATCGGCCTCGCCCGTACCGAGAAGGATCATCGTAGGACTCAACAAAACTGTGGATGGAGTCAGTGAGGTATCTGTAGACAGTGGGGAAGTTGTAGACCGGGATGCAGCTCTCAGAGAGAAGGATAAATCGCTCATTTGAAAAGTCCAGCAGTGCATTGCCTAAGAGGCGCCTTTCAGCATCTGCTAGTGATACGGTTCCCCAAGAGACATCCTGAAGAAGATACTTAAAAAGTCATATAACAACATCAACTTTGTAGAAGATATTAAATCACTAGGAAATCTTTTATCTTTCTTATGAAGAATGAATATTGATATAGAATAAGAGAATCTGAAAAAATGAATCAAATTGTGTAGTTTAAGTAAAGCTAGAACAAAAGAAGGTAACTAGTGTAAACATTTGAAATCCAGACATGCATGTCGCGGGCAATATAATTTTCACTTAAAATATGGTTTAAATTTACTCATATTAAACAATGCATTGTCGCCCTATTACTGCATTAGGGCCCCAGATGTCAAGTTCAGACCAAAAGCATAAAACTATATGTTTCATCTATTACTTTTTTTTGTTGCAAAAGTCAAGCAATATTATTACTTGTAATTAATCATTGATAATAAGCCTCTTCAAATGCAGTCTAGGCTCTAGACCCATCAGTCTGCCAAAATGATTCTAGCATAGTCACTAAAAAAAAAAAATGTTATAACGATGTTATGCAACATGAAATTTTATCAGCTCAAGTGATGCCACCTAATTTACATGCATGAAGGACTGATCGAATTGTTCAATCTACCAACAATTACTATGACAAATAAGCTGCTACCATTTTATATTTGTAAAATCACTGTATTTCTGAACCTTTAATACTGTAAAAGGATTTCATAATAATCGTATGACACTAGTATCGGCCATGCTCATCAATGGAGTTGCAGAACATAAAGTCCTTTCACATGGCTGTTGCATATAGACATATGGACAGATTATGAATTCTATCTGCCTTTTCTTTGAACAGCTTATAATCTCTTGACATGGTGGATCTATAATTTTAATTTGATCATTTTGCAGCATAGGATCTTGACTTTTAGACAACTAAACCAAATATCGGCAGCAGAGTATCTCCCAGACATGGGAAAGCACTTCAATGAAGATGGAACTTTGCGAAGCTTGTAATTCAAGGCTAGACTACCACAAGCAGTAACGAAGAATTTAGAGATACACTTAAGTTCTGTCTTTAAAGAAAGCTGAAACAGAAATTTTTAATTTCAAACCTGACTTGGGATCTGGCGTCCATAAAAAACAGAAAAATTGGACACATTGAGTGTGTATCCAGGAGGTACATGGACATATATGTTGAACAATTCCTCATGCCCCTGAAAGAACCTCTCCCAGAGTGGCAACATTGGCAACGGTCCCCTTGTCAAAAACATGAAAGCCAATTTCGGAATTCTGGTGTAAGGATACTCTTCTTTCATGGGCGCCAAGGAAGCTCTCCAGAGAAGTTCATCATCCAGTAAATCATGTGTCACGTTGGTCGGATGCAGAAAGGTCTCCATGTTCAAACAATCAGTCTCTTCGCATATGATGCTACAATTTTCTTCTTCCCTGACCCCAGCCACACCAATTGATACATGGTTCATTAGAGTGTATAGCTCTGATTGAGTACTAAATTGGTTATTGATATGAGAACTCATAGTTAAACCAATAACCACACCCGCAACAAAAACTACTAAAAATGAAAGCGCTTGAGCTAATCTAAGCAAACCCACGTACTTCTCTGGATCATCTCTGTCTCCTCTAATCTTCCTCATCCTTCTTGATCCAAATCTCTCTTTCTCTTCTGAGACTATTTGACTACATTAACACGAAAAACTGTGCTTTTCATTGAAATTCAACGGTCGGCATTCAGCACCTCGAGCAAGGAGTTCTTAACGAAATTCACAAGCATTGATCACTGACCATTTCGAAATCGGAACCCTTCAAGGATATTAGCTCGAGAAAAGAATTTAATTAACTGTAATGACCTCAGAAAACCCAGTCTGCAAGAGGGATGAGGATCTATACAAGGAAACCAAAAAAATTGATTGGTACAAAATGTTTAAAAAAAAAAAGTTTGATGGAGGGAAAAGAATCAGGAGGAGTGTTGAGTGAGCATTTTGTGAAAAGGCAACAACGAGTATTATTTCTAGAATAGAATCAAATCAAGATCGAATTGGAATCGCATTTATAGAAAACGACAAATAAAGAGATATGTGCGAACTGCGAAGTGGGGTAGTAGATGAAGATTGTGATTGAAAAGGAAGCTAAGGGAAGTGAGAGTGCGAAGAGAATCAGAATGTGAGTGATGGAGAACGAAGTTGGGTGGTACCGGGGGAGTTTTACAGTTGTGCTGAAACGATGGAAACGGCCCTACGCACGTAATTTTAAATAGAAAGACGCGTGAAAGCTAATATTTACTATAAATAACAATAAAAAATTATAGAAATTAGATAAAAATTAATATTGTATTTTTCTCCTTTAATTTCATACAAGATTGATCTTTTAATTTTATCAAACACAGTTTCAATCATTTAATTTTAACACTATTAATTTTATTAATAAAAAATACTAACATTAAATTTTAAATATTGACAAAATACTTTCAAACAAAATTATATTAAATTAAAACTTTTTAAAACAATAGTGATTGGCAAATTCTCTAAACTTTGAGACAAGTACGTAAAATATTTTTTACTTTTAAAAATTTAAAATTAACTTTTTTAATTTTTTATTTTTTTATCACATACTCCTTTACTATTATTTTTTAGTTATCTTATTGAATTTTTTTTTTAAATCTCCTTATATTTGAAGTTCCACCTTTCTTTTTCCTTCACATTTTTCTCCATAATCAAGTAGGAGAAAATGTTATTTTTTTTCCTACTTTTTCGTCTCACTTTCTCTCCCCCTCACTTTTCTCTCCAGCCAAGCATAACATTAAAGTATAAATGTATGTTATCTTATTTTGGTCGCTAATATGATTTTCCCTAATTTGATCTGTTTGGTGTTAAGAAAAGGACAATATCTAGTTTGTTTTCTCGAATTAAGAAATGCCTATTCAAGATCTTTTTTTTCCAAATAAAGTTTTAAATATTTATCGTTAAAATTTTCACCCATTTTTTTCATTACAAAAAATGATGTATCATCAGTTTTTGGCTTGAAAATAATATTATAGTTATAATTTAAAGATTAAAGTATAGCTTGTGTCCTTTTAATTTTTTATAAATTTTCACTTTAATTTCTTTCATCACAAAAATTTTTGACATTAAAATTTTAAATATTGATAAAACATTTTTAAATGTTAACCCATTAAATTTTTTTAAAAATAACAATGATTTATAAGAAATAATTATTTGAAAATATCAATATCAGAATTCAAAATTGAAAAATATTTTATAAAATTAAAAATTAAAATTAAATTTTTATATAAAATTAGAAAAAAAAATAAATTCTAAACCTAATTTAAATACGAGAGAATAAAGAACACACGCGATGTGGTGGTTCTGCATGGAGCGAACAGTCTTTACGAAAACTTCTCCAAATGGGAAATAGTGTCCATGCAATCTGAACTCAAATAAGAAAACCAATTTTAGCATATTGCATTTCCTTTTCCAAATTGAACATCGCATCGCGAATTGGAGAGTCTGAGATAGGATCGGCAACGTAGAAGAAGAAGAATCTTCAGTGATTACAAGATTGGGCCAGAAAAAGAAATAAAGGAAGACACTTCAGAGTGAAATTTAATTACATTTTGAATCAAACTTCGAGGACAGTGATGGAAGATAGGGAATCGAGGATTAGGATACAGGAGAATATAGAGACGAGGGAATCGAGCTACGATGAGAAAGGGATGCTCAAGGAGCCACTTCTAGTGAGTAAATACAGGGCGAACAACACTTCCCAGATCGCCATTGTGGGAGCCAATCTCTGTTCGATTGAAAGTCTTGATTACGAGTAATTTCTTTCCTTCTTTCTCTCTTTCTTTTCCTATTAATCTCCACATCTTTTTTTTTTCATTTGATTGCCTTAAAAAAATTAATAATAGAAAGGGAGGAAATAGGTTGAATTTGATAACTTTGGTTTCATCAGCTTTTAATTTGATTTGATTGAATCATTATTCAACTATAATCTTCTATGGAGGGACATTGAATACTTATTAGATGGAATATGATTTGAAATGTGAACAAAAATGAGCGAGCTATAGGTAAATTGTGAGAGTCAATATGGTAATTAAAGGTTTTGAAAGAGGACATTTTTGTCTCAAAAAAATAATTTTCTTTTGTCTCGAATTTAGAAAGAGATCACCAAATTTCTGCCTCCTCACAGTAGAAAAACTGTTGCTTTTAATTGTCAAACACTAATAGTTGAAAAAAAGAATTTTTAAGAAAAAGTTAAGCAACTTATTTGCCAAACTAATTGTTGCCAAACACCCCCGAGTCATTTTACTGGTTATTTATTTCATATGATATATTAAAACTTATGGCTATGATTATGGTCTCTGCAGGATGAGCAGGGCGAAACAAATTATGATGTGTTCTTGGTCCTTATTCCTAATTATTCTTAATCTTAATTTCTAATGTCATTGTCTTATTAAACTATCACTCCTCATGAAGGAGGACACTTGTTAAGGATTTCCTGTGAAGTGGTGAAGTGTACTTAAGAAACTACACTTCACAAAAAAGAAAAAGAAAGGAAAAATTGAAGGCAACCAAAAAAAGAAAAGGACAATCCGTAGTTACCTTCCAATATTATGAAGCTTTGTTGTATTCTTAATCTTTTGAGCGGTAATGGAATATCACCCTGCTGACCTGAATAAATAATTACTTTCAAATAAGTTATGCCTCACCCTATCTACTTTGTTTGCAGGATTATTGAGACTGATCTTTATATGCAAGATTTGAGGTCTAGAACAAAGGTTGAGAAGTGTCGTTATCTTGCCCTCAAATGGACACTTGCACTTCTTGTTGGTTTAAGCACGGGGCTTGTTGCCTTCTTTAATAACATTGCAGTTGAGAATATTTCTGGCACCAAGCTTCTACTTACCGACAATCTAATGCTCCAAAACAAGTAAGATTATTTTTCAATTATATGCAATCTGACCTTTTAGCTTCTATTTTTATTCTTCTTATTGCTACAAAGTAACTCTATGAGAGCGCTTATTTCTTGCCTTTGGAAGTGCTTTTTTTTTTGTGCTTCTCTTACACATCCTTTTTCAAGTGCATGTTCTTGTGACCATTTGCTTGTTTTGGAGATGACAGTACCTGTGTCTAGCCTGATAATTTCAATTTTGTTATTCTCAATAGTTTGTTTTAATCTTTAGATTTCATTTTTATGACTTGTGGTCATTTTGAGGTGGTTTCAATTGTACATTTTGTGCACCTACATAACCTGAGTGGTCTTCAAGCATCTTTTTATATTTTCAATTTCATTGATAAAAAGGAGCATAAATTTTAAAGGCTTTTCATTTTGACTCCCTAGTTATCTAGTTCTGTTATGACTCATAACCCTTAGGTGAATATTGAACCTACTAGGTTTCAATGAATGATATAAAACCATACTTTAAAGAAAGATTAGGATAAAGAAATAAAGATCTGTTTCAACTTTACATGCAATAGAGTGTATTTTTGCCATAACTATCATGTCACTTTACTCCAGTACAGGTTTCTCCAGGCCTTTGCAGTGTATGCTGGTTGTAATTTAATTTTGGCAACTGCTGCAGCAGCCCTATGTGCTTATATTGCTCCTTCAGCAGCAGGGTCAGGCATACCTGAGGTGAAGGCATACCTTAATGGGGTAGATGCTTATTCTATACTGGCTCCAAGAACCCTCTTTGTAAAGGTTAGTTAGTTAGCAACTCATTATAAAATTGTATTTGTGTTGGCGAAGAGAAATGACATTGTATATGTAAACACGCCCTTTCAGTATTTTTCATGGTATGTATCAGTGCATTGCTTGCCATGAAAAGTTACCATAAATTGCTTTTCTTTCTTGATTAACCAAATACATGTTCATTCAAAAGTTGAAGAATAATTTATGTTAGATAAAGGAAGAGGGAAATACATATAAGAAACCGAGGGAGAGGAGAAACCTAGGAAGCACTCTTACTCTTCTCCACTTGCAGGCATTAACCTAAGAGGCACTCTTACACTCCTCTTCTGTCAATTCTCCTTATTTTTTTGTTCATGGGTACTATGTATGGTCGTCTACTCCTCCATGTAAAATAATGGATTTACCATTGTCCTATTTGTTAACTTCTTTAAAATTTTAAACAAAGATTTTATATACCATTTTGTTGGAAGCTGAGGAAGAACTATTTTTATAGTTAGGGTATAAAGTTCATACTTACTTCTTCTTCTTGCTAAGTGCACTTTCTATTATTTACTTGGCTTTACTTGATTTAAAAGGTAACTGAGTACATTGGATATATATATATATATATATAGGCAAACTAGGTAACCAAACCATTACAACTCATTATACATACTTTAACAATTACTGTCTCTGCAATGGTCTTGTTGGGAATTAAATATACATTATCTCAACTTTGATATCAATTATTGGATCAAACATTTATCCCTAAACTAAAGGTTATGTAACTCTTGGTTAGGATGCAACTTTGTGTATTTCATTACACTTAAATCAAAGATCATGTTTCATCCCTAAACCTTAGTCAAATTTTGCAATTCAATTTATTTTGGAATGCACTTCATGTTTGTAATGAAAATACTAGTCAGCAAATGAAAGGAAATAAATGTAAAATCTTTTAGAGAAACTTTCCTTTGCTGATTAACTTTGATCATGTTTTAAACAATATGCATGGATTGGACTTTGCAGATTTTTGGTTCAATTTTTGGGGTTGCTGCGGGATTTGTTGTGGGCAAGGAAGGACCTATGGTGCATACTGGCTCTTGCATTGCCAATATACTAGGACAGGGTGGTTCAAAAAAATATGGACTAGATTGGAAAATACTTAGATACTTTAAGAATGACTGAGATCGAAGGGATTTGATCACATGTGGTGCAGCAGCTGGGGTTGCTGGTGCCTTTCGTGCCCCTGTTGGTGGTGTCTTTTTGCACTTGAAGAAGCAACTCATGGTCCCCCCTTCTCTCTACACACACACACACACATCTACCTATCTCCAATTATGTTGTATGTTTCATGCAATGCACACACGACCAATGCTTGATTGGCCAATCCAGTCCAATATGTATCTTAAAATATGATTAGCTACTATTGAATTAATTGACATTTTTGCTTTGATAATTGATTTAGAATGATAGACAATTAGTTGTCATTTTCCTTGCACTACTTCACAATCTATGGTAAGTT